TTTTGAATCGACCGTGAAAGCGAGAGGACGCACTAAATTTTTGTAAGCAATTATTATTGCATTTTGTGCATTTAATTAATTATTTAAACGTTTATTCACGCAGTGAAACGTTAGCTGACCAGCATTGGAATAAAAGAATATTGAAGTTCGAGAATTTCGGTGTTTTTAATTGATTTTGTTCCAGCGTCGTCATTTTCTTTCGCGAACACTTTTATAGAATCAAATCAATCCATCTGATTCCAACTTTGTCAAAGAATCTAACATCATCCCTTCTATTCTTTTCGAATCTACAAAGCTTACAACCCAACAAGAACTCCCAAAAAAAATATCATATTGTGTTAATTTAAATAAACAAACTGAAATCATAAACAAAATCTGTTATCCCAAAATACGGCTAAATAAATGAACAAGTTAAAGACAAAGAAGATGGAACCTTTATTTTTCAACATAGTATGGTGTAATCACATGAAATATATAAATTAATGATGGTATAAGGCGACGATCCTTTTACATTAATTTCTCATACCAGAAAGATATGAAAAAAAATGAAATGCTATTATTCTGTGTGGATTTAAAACAATGATATTAAAATTTAGAAAATTATGGTTATTGCTTTTGCTATCACAACATTCCATTAAAGCTTAGCTTCCTTTTTTTTTAATACTTGACTGTATTTTCATTCTCTCCCCTTTCTTGTTGTTCTTCGTCTTGACTCACTCAACCCATCTCATCTACGATGCTCATTTTTCCTATCTGCTTCCTTCTTCGCTCCTTTAAATTCCTACTATATTTTCTTTCATACTTTTCATATTTACCGCAAAAATCTACACACAAAATTGTACAGACAACAGAGAGTAAGAGAGAGAAAGACAAACATAAATGGAATAACTTTTTGCACAGCAAGATATGTCATGAAATGTCTCAGGATAAATTATGAAAACTTCAACAGAAACATTAAATGAAATTTACGCTATAAATTACTTTTTCGCATTATATTTTTACTTTGTTTGCACTGTAGTATCAGAATTCTCAACTCTCATATCCAACAACTATAATTAATTCTGCTTGCATGCACAATCGTACTTACTCAGTTACTTTTTTTGGATATACAAAAGCTCACATGCTTGCCGCCACTGCCACGATTTCCATTTCATTTTTTTTTTGACTGCTTACTTTAAAACGGAATTCTTGTGTTCTCTCTTGATAATGAACTGCTGTGAAGGTAGCACAGAGTTGGTAAGCTTCCAGGGTTACTTCATTTAACGGGTTTGATTGTTGAATGTTCTTGTGCCTGGATTTTTGTGTTAGAAGGGCTACGTTGTGCATAGTTTTAGAAGTTCTGGTCTAAACTAACCCAGGAGATCAAAATCAGCTACTCTATTAATAGGCTCTCCAACTGCGCACTTTTGAGCGAGACAGTCCCTTTCAAGGGTGTGGTACTAATGAAATGATCAAAATGTAATTCCTCAGTTCCACACCCTTGGTCCCGTTTTTGAACAAAGTCTCGCCTAGAATCCTTAATGTCCCGCTTTTACGAACCCATTTTCTTGGAAAATGCTTGAAAATTTGGTCTGTCACGCTTCTGAACTCGAATTGGGACATGTCCCACTTTTTGCCCCAAAATAGGCAAAACCGATGGACAACCTATCTATGAAGCTTAAAAAGCTACCAAACCAGTCTAAAACAACAAAAATTTATCATTAAAGCTTAATTTTTCAGCTCTTTAACTTTGATTCTAATTAAGTTACTCTAACTTGACGCAAATCAATTCAGTACCAGTAGCTCCCCTTCTAGATATATTTTATAGATGAATTCCATTCACTCAACCCATAATCCTTTAATTCAGCTGAACGAAATGGAATGTGAGAATTTAAAATGAAAAATTTTTTGGCGTAATTTTAGAGTGTCAAATGGATTATGTACATTGAAGTGCATCTTTTTTTCTTGTTCTAAAAGCACATCACCTTCATACTGTGCTAAGTGCTTTAATGTGCAAAAAACAAGAGAAGGCAGATTTGAATATCGGATTAAATTGGGACATTAATTCATATGGCAATGAAGAGGAACAGATTTTGAGAAATTCATGAATTGCATTTATGAGGAAGAGATTTTCGTGGCTTGAATTAGATGAGAGGTGGTTTGGAAAGTGATCAACTATGAAATTAGACAGTCAAAGAGCTAAGTGGATAAATTATTTGATTATTAATGTTAAACTATTGCTTTTAACTATACTGAATATATTTGACAGCTTTTTTATTTTATCCGGACAGTAAATTAAGATGGACTCTAAGTGAAGAGGTTGTTAAGTTGTTATTTTAAAGTGCACCTTCAGACAACTTAAATTTTAAGATTTTCATTCTATTTGCGACCTAGTCATATCGAAAGCATTCAAAGAAATTAAACCCTTATGACGTCATAATCAAGAATGCTGATCTGTAGCCAAACACAGATTGATTACGGTTTAATGCATTTGATTCCACACTTCTATCATCAATCCTAATCTCTAAATCATAGAGTCTTTCCGCATTAGAAGATTCACAAAAACAGATCTAAGCATAGTTCGATTCTCCTTTCAATTTAAAAGCTCAAAGCTAGCTCAATACATCGTAGCCCCATTAAAGAAACTCTAAATGTTCAAAAGTGAGCCATAACAGATCGTTAAATTTCTATTAATTATGTATTGTTTAGGTTCTCTTTCACAGCAAAGCAGCTGCAATAAATCAATTACATTTCACCCTTTTTTCAGCTTTGTTGCCTTTTCCAAACAGTTATCAAGATGAAAGGCTAATTTAGTGCATGCACGTGATAATTTGCATACAACCGGCTAACATTTTAAAAGTTCATTCCCAACAGTTTAAATCATGTTACTATATTTAGTTTAGAGCAGAAAACTGCATGAAATCACGGACATTAAATCTTTAAAAGCTCGTTTTACTTACTCACTTTATTTTGTATAATTAAATTTCTTAACAGAAGTACTTTGCATTGTTGAAAGGAAAGTGAGTACGATATGAAATAAGAATGTACATAAAAATTTATGTGAAATGAGATTACTGTTAGATAAGGATGAATGGGAGGGAAAGTGAGAAAGAAAGGAATGAAATAAAAATGAGAATTTAAAACGTTATAATTTTCATTATTTTTGCCTTCCTGATTTTTCCTTTCTTTCTATGTTTTCATGACTCAATGATAATCGTTTATTTGTAGCCATCAAGTGATATTTTAGACGATGAAGCAAAAGATGCTATTAATTTCAGAACATTTGCTGAACATCCAACAAACCGCAATCATCGAAATGATTTATGATTCGTGAAATTATTTATCATTTATATACATAGCATACGATTCAATGAATGAGAAAAATAAGAAATACATTCAAGCAAGAGAACTTGCTATTATGTTGCATAAAACAACAGCAATATCACAAAATAATAATTTTATAGTAAAAAGTTTGCGAATTTCACTTAATTAATTCATAAGAAAATTTATGGAATTGAAATTATGAAAGATCATGTTTACAAATTAAGTATCAAGTTGAACATCCTTTTTACAAATATTCTATCATGTTATAAACTCTTGTTATATGAAATCTGTAGCAATTTAATGAATTATGGCTTTTGATAATAAGAGTAAAATGCTCAAATTTATCTTGAACACACTTACTGACTTACTTTGTTGGCTTAACGGATCAATTGTGATTTATGACCATTTATGGAGTCTTATAGATGACGCCTGAAGCTGGCTCTATTGCTTTCTGTACCACTTGCTAATTATTGATTGCTAGTGCATTACAATCATCATCAACAGCTTACTTTAAGTAGAGTTCATAGTTTGTCAACATGATTTCTTGCCTTATTTGAAGCTATCTTTGAGAAAAGTTAACCAAGTCCTCTTATAACTATGTAAGTTACTTCTTGAAGTGCTGAATCATTGATCGAATCTTCTTAGGTCGATAGATATATTTTAAGAATTTATTCTTGTCATATTTCATGACTATAGCCACAAAGCGTTATTGGATGTATCTGTTTCTTATACATGACATTTTTCGAGATTCTCCACAACATTAGTAGAATCCTTACTTCGCTTGATCTCTAAGAAGGTTCAAAGTTAAGAGATCTTAAGTAGAAAACTACTTAAAAACAGAATTTTCATCAACTAAATCCCCAGTTTAAGAAGAAGATCATAGACTGTTGATGATTCTTATTCAAGAATTTCGCCAGCACAAAACTAATTCGGTTCCATGTCAAATTTATAAAACTCTTGAGATCAAAATTTCAAATTACGATCGATATCATTTCACGCACCTTTTATTTATCAATTTCATTACCGGAAATTGCTGTTCATCCAACATTTTATTCCGCTGTTAAATTCATTTCCCCAGCAACATTTTCTGTCATATCCAACATTTTGATACATTACAAATTCTCAGAACTCGTGCCACTTTGAGTTATTAAATTATAAATTCCTTTCCTGTACAATAATGTCAATTTTTCATGTGTCTTTTTATGATCAATTGATGTGAACATATAAAAATTTCTGTTGAGCTTTTATAAGCTTTCACCAGGCATGACTCACGAAAAAAAAGTGCACATGCTGATGAATGATGATAAAAATAATAAAACTTCATAAAAAAATAACTTTTTATGATTCGATTGTCAGGATTGTTCATTTTCTCTGCTGTGCTGCCTTTTTTTTTGTTTGACTGAATAAAGTTGAGTGAGGACGAGAGAAATTCCAATTAATATGATAGCATCGAAGCATTTATAATGTTTTATTTTATGCTGTCAAATGGAAATTGTATTTACCGTAAAAATGTGATGAAGTTTTTAATCAATCGGTGAAAATGGAGATGAATGGGGCTATAATTAACTTTGCATGCACATGCCTCACTTATTGTCGGTTTTGGTTCTTTTTATGACAAATTCTGCAGCCACCGACCTCAATAAACATTATGGCGAGTTGTTGGTACTAGAACGCACCTATTCATTTTCCAAAGACTCACCAACTTAAAGCAAAGAAATCAAACCACAGATCATTAGCTTAAAGCTTCAATATTCCAAAAATATCTTATTTATTTTTCTTTCTTAATTCCAGATCACACAAAAGCATTATATGCATAGTTATTATTAGTACAATGATGATTTTAAGCAGCAATTAAATTTTAAAAATATAAATCTTTATGATTTTTAATGAATGAGATCAGTACGATGTATTTATTTTTCAGCAGCAGCAATAGCCATGAATGAGAAACGCAATTCCTTTTCATCGCGTGCCATGAACTTCTTGCAGACAGCAGCAGCATCAGTCAAGAAAGTGTCATCAGATGTCTTTCCATGACTAACAGCACCGCACTTGCCACCATCGAGTTCAAACAATTCATCACCAACTTTTGTCAATGCAATAAAGTGGAATAAGACTTCAGCTTGTGCTGGTGGAGCTTCAGTCTGTCCTTCGCGAGCAATTTCCTGATGAATTTTGATGATTCCTTCATCCTTTTCCAACAACTTTCCACGTTCTTCTGGTGACAAGTCTTTGGCTTTTTCGTAGAAACTCTTTAAAGGACCGTCCTACATTCATTATTTGTAGACAGACAGAAGAACAAGAAGAAATTAGAACAATTTAAAAAATCGATAATTCTTAATTAAATTAATTTACATACTTCAAGAGTGATGCGATCTAAGTTATTTAAGATACTGTGGAAAAGAGCAACAGTTCCACAAGCATTATGCAAGTACTGCTTCATATAGAACAAATTATCCGGTGTTTTAGTCGGATTTGCCTTCAAGTCTTCATCTTGTTGTTTACGATGACTTTCATAATTTTCGGTGCATGGGAAAAGCAAGATAAATGCAAGCACAGGCTTGTTCAAAAAAGCCAATGTATCTTCTTCTAATCCATAGACATCAAAAAGCTGATATTTATCAGCCACACCAATGGATTTCATGAACTTATTAAGAACCTTTATTGAATGACGAATTTTCCAGTCATTAAAAATGCACAAGAAAAATCTATTTTTAACTCACATCTGGATTGCTCTCCAACGGAATTACGAATGAATCAGACATCTTTTCGGGCTTAGAATGATTTCACAACTGAATATTTATGAGTTAAAGCGTACTTTCAGTGATATTTTAATTAAATTAACCTGATCTCTTTTGCCGACTTCTTTGTTTGAAAAACTGCGAAAATGTGCTCAACCCTGAAATTTTAAAATATTTCACAACCGTTATTTTGAGTAATTTTTTGTTGCACAAATCTGCATTAAAAAGGTGTTTTAAGCTTGTCTATATGCTGGTTTACATTGGTCATGCATCAAACTTTGTGAAAAGCAGGCTAATTCTCTCTATTTAAGTGAATAATTGTGAAATAAACATTTGAGTTTCCCGCACTTTTCAAGAATTAGCATGTATTTTCGAAACACTTTGTCTGTCCACACTTTTTCCGCCTTACTATCCAATAGTTCACTCACTTTGCTGCATATTCTCAGCTTCTTCAGAACCTTTTGAAGATTATACATGAAGCATGTATTTCTTCATCGCAAGATCAATAGAAATACATTAATAATATCCAAATATATACTGCGTTCTAGATCACATTACTCAAATCCTCAACATCTTTTACTTGTCTATTATCAACAAACAGCATTCCGTAAATATTCATTTAACAACAATTTAATAAACGTAGATAGAAGGCATGTCTCGAGCAGATAGTAATAGTAACAAAACGTCGAGTTACGGAGATATCCGTCATGAAGACATCGACGAGGAATTAAATTTGATGGTAAACAGCTTCTTTTGTCTTTTTGTGGTCTTTAAAGTACCAAAAAATATGAATAAATTAATAAGAATTGATTTTCTTTGTTAAAGAGACCAGAATTACAGAATCTGGAAATGAACATGATGGTAGCACTAAATAAATGGGTACTTACTGATACTATGATTGGAAATTTTGGAATTTATGGAATTAAATATCCACAATTGAGCTCATTGAATCGAGATGATTTGATTAAATTAGGTATTACAGACAACCAAATGCAAGATGAGATGCTTGAAGAATTCAGCCATCTCACAGGTCAAGATCCATCGTTAAGAGCGTAAGCTATAATTAACATTTTCAAGTTAATCATGCAATAACATTCTTAGTGTAATTTCCAGTGTGGTTGGTGATTTGCAAGATCAACAAAAAGATACAGAAACCGTGTCAATGGTTCAAACATTACAAGAACAAATCTATCGCCTCAATACTCTATTAGCTGCCATAACATTTCAAGTCGGTATTTCATCATCGTCAGCGCCTGGAATTGTTGTCAATCAACGTTTCTGTTCAGCGCAAATTGTCATGGACTTACTTGGTCAATTAGGAACTCATACTGCTCAAATGGAAGAGATTATCGTCTCATTATCAGATCCAGTAAAATATGATGAAATTGAGAAAGAATTCACAAAGAAGAAGCGGGAAAAGCGACGAAACTGCATCGCTATAGTTTCAACAGTTGGATTCTTCATCGCTGGATTGTACTTTGCCAGACGTTTTGGAATGAGGAAAGGATTTTAATCTGCAAACTCTCTAATGAAATTTAACATTTTTTGGGAAGTAAAGAAGGTCTTTTTGGAGAATTGAATTAATTAACGTACAAAACAGGAAGAAATATCAATTGATACAGTTGTATTTTTTCTACACGTAATAACATTGAAGTGGTAACGGGTCCAGTCAGAAATCTTACACATATTAAACTAAGCATAAAACCAACAAAAGCGCATTTTCCATAAATTATAGCTAATTTTAAACATTAACGGTTATAAATTATTTGAAATTAATGTCACAATTTTTATGAAAAAGTTTCGTTAAAATTCAGAATTTAGACATAAGTTTCGTTCAAAATTTCCATAAAATTTAAAAAGTTAAAGAAATAACGGAAAATGCGCTTAAAATATCATTAATTAAAACAATCTGCCATAAAATGTGGATCAATAGTTGATTTTTTTTTATTAAATGAGTGAATAGAATTTTCTAATTAAAAAAAATAGTAGCTAGAGGCTGTGATGAACTTCTTGATGATCATGTTGCTCAAAGCACATTTCACAATAAAATACAAAGTTTTTTCCATTAATATAAAAAATCAGCATTTAATTACCATCAAGATTTGGGGTGTCTTTAAACTTGATTATTCCATCTTCTGGTGCCTTTTCAAGCTCAATCATCAAGACTTTGTTGGAACCGACTTTAAGGATTTCTTTTGGAACGTATAGTGTGATTTGTGGACCAACTAGTGGCCAGTACCTGCCTAAATTGAACTCATTGATGAATAAAACGCCTTTACCCCAAGTTGTTGGATCAAAATAAGTATCTGCAATTTCTGACTGCTTTAATGTAAATTCACCGTAAAAGATTGTCGGACCAGAACGTAAATAACTCTTTGCTGATGCTGTTCTTGGAATATTTCCATACTTCCTCTTTAATGTGGTAATCAAATTATCAACTTTTTCATATTCATCAAATGGATATCCAGTCATAGTCCAATTAACTAAGACCATTGAATTATAGACAGCATCACTGACAATTCCTTTAAAATCATTCGCAATTCCATAATTAATGCGGCCCTCATTCTCTACTAAAACTTGCAGTTCATCGCCTAAAGTCAGACTTAATGGAATCGAATTGATTCCATTTTCACGTGATAAGACACCGACAAACTGCCGATTAACATAAATATAAGCACGATCTCTTAAGTCATTTATTTTCAGCTGTGCTGGATCACGTGTGACCTTTGGTAATTTCGTTTCATATAAAATAAATCCTGAATACTGATTAAGAGCCTCAAATGTTAACGGCGTATGACCATTGACTGTATAGCTTGATAAATGTCGTCTACTGTTTGTGTCCATCAAGACTGAAATTGGCTTCATTTGTACATCAGATAGTCGTGTTTTTGGTACGGGACTAGGAACTGGCACGTCAGGCAGTGTAAAGTATTTTCCAATCATTTTTCTTATTTCCATATATTTATCTGTTGGATCTCCAGCTTCTGTCATTGGTGCATCGTAATCATAAGATGTGACATCAGAATTGTAACTTCCTGGACCTCCATCGTTTGCTCCGGCTGTGAATCCAAAGTTGGTTCCTCCATAAAACCTGCAAGATTTTTAACGAATTTTTAAAATTTAAATTTCGTAAGGAAAAAAATTCAATTTTAAAAAATACGTTACATGTAAAAATTAACACTAGCACCGTCCTTAATCATCTTCTCGAGTGATGTAACAATAGGTTCAGTCGGTACACGTTGCATGTCTTCCTGCCAATGTGTGAGCCATCCAGGATAATATTCAGCATTCATTAATGGTCCTTTCTTCTGGAACTTCCTTAATGTTTTCCAGAATGAATCTATCGTTTTATCATCTCCAGCACCAAAATCAAGAGAGGCAAAGACATCGGGAATTTTACCACACCTAAGCATTCCAGGTCCATCATTTGAAAATAGAACAGCCTGTCCTTGCGTGTATTTAAACGTCTCATCACGTAACCAGACTTTATACTTTTCGTCACATGCATAAAATGATCCATATTCATTTTCTACCTAGAATATTATTTAAATGTATTTTATAATCTCTATAAAAACCTCATGAAATCATTTAAAATATGCAAAGGTTAATTCTTTTCGAACTGATTGACTCAAGAAATTTGAAGGCAGAACAGCAGTCAAAATAGCATTTGTAGATGGTTTGGTGAGTGACACTTTTGGTGATTAGATAGTTGAGTTCATTTTTGTTCGGTTCAGATTTAAAAAGTTTATTTCGGTTCAGTTCAAGTTTGGAAATCATTCCAGTTCAAAAATGTTCACTTCAGTTCAAACTATGTTCGTTTGTGTTCAGTTCATTCAAATTTTATAAAATCATTAATTTTCAAATTATATTTAACCGTTGAATTTTCAAATCTTATTTAATCGTTGAAATTTCAAATTTTAAAAACCCTTTACAATTGCTAGCAATTTCAAAACATAACTTTATCCTTTAAACTTTCAAATCATGTCAAAGTTCATTCCAGATTATTATTCAACATACAATTTTGTCATACCTGCACCATGATAATTGGACCTCCATTTCCATACAAAAACTTTTGCATCCTAGTCATCAACACTGCATACCATTTTGCAACTTCAAGTTTGTAGTCTAAATGTCAATAGAATAATAAATTTAGCAAGTGACAGATGATCAATAGCTTGAAATATCAAACCTGCATCGTCAGTTCTCAATTGAATTTGTGGATATTTGTTGAGTAGCCAATAAGGAAATCCGCCCATGTCACGTTCAGCGCAGATCTAAGAAATAAAAAAGTATTTAGAATCACGGCAAAGAAAGTTGTGACAAGTCCATACATAAGGTCCAGGCCGTAGAATAACTAAGAGATCTTCCTGCTGTGCAAGCTGAATAAATTGCTCAAGATCAGCGATTCCAGTGAAGTCATAAACATCATCTTTTGGATTGTGAAGTGACCACTCGACATAAGTCGTTACAACATGCAAACCAGCTGCTCTCATCGTACGCAATTTTCTCTGCCATGTCTCAGGCAACGCACGAAAATAATGAAAGGAACCGCCCATAAATTGGAATGGCTTGCCATCAAGTAGAAATGTGTTGTTGCTGTAATCGATTTCAAATGTTCTTGAGGGTACCTAAGTGGATAGGAAGCAGCTGATGCAATCAGAACATTGTCAACACTTTATTTTTCATGTTTACTTACAACATTATTGACTGATAAAGTGTGCTGACTCTTTACTGAAGACATAATGTAGGTCAACAAAAGTAAAATAATTGATAATTTTGTCATTTTGTAAGTCATTGATTTTGGTGCTATTGTTTTACGACATAAATGATTAAGGCACAGCAAGATTACCTGGGGAGAAGACGAGGAATGAAGAAGAATAGAAAAAGTTGTTGCCGGTTAATTTGAAAACAATGGAACTTTGATTTACATATTTTTTGACTGATACATGAAGTTTTAAAATAATTTTCAAAAGTATTTTCAATTTTGTCGCATATTTAGACCTCAATTAATACTTTGTTGAGTAATTGACTAAGTCAACTTCCAAAATCCGTTAGAAAATTATTTAAATTGTTGAAAACCTTATAATTTTGTTTGCTGTTGTATGGTTTTATGAAAAGAATTGTATGGTTTTGATTATATTTGTTGAATTTTTTTCATAAAATTCAAAATCCACAAAACCGTTGAAAAAATCAAATATTCCAAAACCATTGAGAATATTCAAAATTTACAAAATCGTTAAGATAATCAAGTCCAAATTCTAAAAAAACGGTTAAAAATGAAAACTTTAAGAAACCACATCTCATACTCAACTACAATAAATGCAACATATCAAACAATCAAGCATATCAGATGACTAAAGAACTAAAGCTGTATATTGCAATCAAAAGGATGAATCACAAAGTAAATCCCCCGACCTTTACCCATTTAAAAGTAATTCATACTTGATAAGAATATCACAAAATTGTTCCTCACACATCCAACAAAAAAAGAAAGAATTTTGCATATATTAAATTAAGAGCTTTAATCTCTTCTTCATCTTCATTTTTTCCGCCTTGTTACCTTCAAAATTGTTTCGACACTTTCTCAATAGTCATTAAACAGAAATCAAAAAAGGTTCTTTCACTTCCACTTGAATGCTAAAAATTACCATAAGAAAGCAATGAACTTGAGGTTGGTTCTTTGCCCGATCAATGGATTTTTTGTTAGACAACTTGGAGAGCACTTAATCATGCTTGTAAACCAGTTCTGAGAGAGATTTAACTATCTCAATAATTTCCATAAATTTTAAGTTCCGCCGGTCTGTTAAAAAATGCAAATTTAAATTAATTAATTGTTTTTGAGGAACTAGAACTGAAAAAAGTCATCGCGTGCACCCGAAAACGATTATGATCAGTAAGATTTGTATAAATATAAAAGAAAAATCACGCTTGCTGGTGATTTCGAATGGAAATAAACATAAATCACTCACACTTTCAAAATATCTATCTCTCGAGCAGCAAGCTACAGTAGCCGCAAAAAAAATGTTTAATTGTAAACAGAAAAGTGATCGAATTGAAGAAAAATTTTAATGCAATTTTTTTTTTTTATTAAGTTCTGTTATCGATCACGATCAGTTTCAAACTTATTAAACTGTTGCTCTCGACTGTCTCTTTGAACTTCACAAATTATACTGACAGAGAAAATGAGAAGTGTGAGCCTAATATACATGGAGACACACTCTGTAGAATGAAGAAAGAATTGGAGAAGATGATACTTTTGAGAACAGCTTGCGGTACGCTCTGTTTATGAAATGGATCGAGAGATTTATTTGGTTCCTTTTTGAGACTTTTTTGGGATGCTGAAATAATTAAAAAATTAAAAAGATTTTTAAGATTGTTCATTTAATGACGTTCGATATTAAGCAATTAACTTCTGTTAATTTCTATTCTTCTACTCTAGATGTACCCCCCCCCCCCCCTCCCTCCACCTTCTCCCCCTAAACTGGTCCAATAATCGATTTGTAAGAACCTTAACTTTGATATGATTGAAAATTCATCAAAAACCTGCAAAAACCTTACAAAATGCTCATTTCGGTCTCGATCATTTTGCCTGTACATCCAATAAAGCATAAACAGCCAAATTAAAAACTGATAAAAACTCAATGCAACAAAAAATCCGTTAAAATCTCAAACCACGTGCGATTATTTAAAATTCAACGAAAAATTAACGATTGAAAAAATTTCAAATCACAAGCCAAAAATCCACAAAAAAATAGATGACAGTCAGACATGAATCATAAAAAAAAATAAAGTTGAGTGAAAAGTACGGAAAATTGAAATTTAAACAAAAAAAACCTTAAAAACTCTATATTCTGCTAGGAAAAACTGTGATATAAATAAATTTTTTGTATAAATCTTTACAAAGCACATAAAAAATGTCCACAAAATATGATGCGTAAGTGTTAATCGATGAAAAAATCAAGTTTTTAAGAATTGCTGTTTTGGTTATAAAATTAATGTTTAAAAAAAATTGTATTTAATTAATAGAATTAAACAATACGAGAGCGATTCTGACGATGAAGACTATAATGTTGATTTTGATGACAGCAAATTGCCGCCAATTGAGGTTCCCGTCGGTGATCACAAATTACAAGTAAGTCCATATCTATCAAATGACGACTGCTATAGCCAACAAATTGAAATTTTTCCTTTATTAATAGCATTGCTATAATCTCTGGTATGCAAGGAAAGGCAGTCATCGAGCTTCTGAATATTCTAAATCACTTCATTTTATCGGTCGTTGTGGGTCCGTCGAGCAATGGTGGAGTCTTTATTGTCACTTGTTAAGACCAACAGAACTAAAGCCTTATCGTAAGCTTCATCTATTTAAGGCGGGTATCAAACCAATGTGGGAAGATCCCGAGAACATAAAAGGTGGTAAATGGATTCTTCGATTGAGAAAGAATAAGGTGAATCGAGCATGGGAGAATGTCTGTATGGCAATGCTGGGCGAACAATTTCTCGTTGGACCTGAAATATGTGGCATAGTCTTATCAACTCAATATCCTGAGGATTTATTATCCGTTTGGAATCGAACGGCTATAGATGTTGGGAGTACAAATCGAATAAGGGACGTGCTCAAACGAATTCTCAATCTTCCTGCCAATTTTCCCATTGAGTACAAGCCACATTCAGACTCTTTAAAGTAAGCATTCTCATAGCTTGTTACATTTCGGCTCTAATGTCATTTTGTTTTTGTTACTTCCAGGGCAACTAAAGTATTGATGAGCAAATCTCAAAATCAAAAAGATGAATAAAATCTATAACTCCCCACCCAACAAAAATCATCCATAAATTACGGCAATTTGCTGCGGAAAAAAATTTAGCCCAATGATTAAATCTGGACATCTTTTTTCACACATAAGTTTCTATTACAAACTCAACAACAAACAAAAGTTAAAACGGGAATATTGAGAGGGAGGAAGACAGCAATCTAACATGAACGGAGAGAATATGTCATGTGGATAGTTTTTTCTAATGCAGTTTAACATTATTTTTTTGTTTTATTCTTATTCTAAAAATAAAGAATGATTTGAAAAAGTTATATTCGACAAGGAATTCTTATGCTGCACACTTTTATTTTTGGAATTTATTTCATCTCCAACAGTTTTCAAAAATTTAAATTTCAGATTTGAATTTTTTTGAAAAAATAAACCGTTAAATCTTCAGATCAAGAATGTAGTGGATTATGAGTGATGCTGACTTATGCTTTTGCACTGAATTGTGAATAATAAGTCGCAGTTGAATCTGACGAATTGAAGGAATCAAATTACTTCCTTTTGTTTAATTTTCTCATATTCATGTTTACATTAACTTCATGCATTGCTTTGACTGTATTTGTGTGGATTGCAAAAAGATCGTCGCCGAAACTAATTTAGTTGAAGCATAAAAGTAGATCGATAAGCGTCATTTGGGTATATTTTAGCATTAAAATTACTTCAGCTAGTTAGCAAAGTGTGACAATCAAGGAATTTACTAGAACTTGCATTTAAAATCAACCAAAATGGAATCCAATGATGTGTGAGTGTATAAGTTCTTGATATCTCCTATTTGATTCCGATTTGAATCAAATTCCTTTATATCCAACAGCCAAAATGATGATCAAGAAACAACTGTCGTAGAAGAAGCCACTGAAAGTCCAACTGACTCAGGATTCAATTCAAATGAATCTGAAAGTCCTTCAAGCTCCCGATGTTCATCATTTTCGGAAGCCGGTAGTGCAATTAGTGATGATTTTGCGACAATTACTGATGACCTTGATAATTTGAATTTAACTGACGATGACTTGGAATCAGCATTAAAAGACGATATTGATCTTGTGATTATTAAAGATGATGACGAAAAGAATTCTGTGACATTTGGAAAGACAATGACTGTGACTGATGTAATTTCAAGATCAGTTGGTGAGGACTTGAATGCTGATGACTATGACTTGATGATTGATGGACGAGTTTTACCAAGAACGATAACTTTGAGAGATGCTGGAGTTACTGGAGGAACTAAAGTTAGATTAGTGGAACGAGAAATGCAGATTTTTATTCGTCGAGTTGATGGACGTACAACCACAATTCAAATCCGTCCCTCAAACACAATTATGGCAATAAAGGAACAATTCTTCCACACGGATCAAGTTCCTGTCCATCAACAAAGATTGCTATTCCAAAGTAATGAATTGGAAAACACAAGAACTGTCGTGTCCTACAACATTCGTGTTGGATCTACCTTAGAAATGGTCTATCGCTTGCGTGGTGGATGCTTGACTGGAAAGTTTTAAACTTTTCATACTAATGCGTTTTATAACTGACTGATTTTATGAGATAATATTAATGAAAATTGATTATTTTAAAGGATTTATTATATGTTAAAATAATTAATTCTATTTTAACGTTCAATTCAAATCTACAAATTCATTCAGTAAATTTCATTTTATCTCAGTTCAGCCCAATACTTTTCAAATTTTTAAAAACCGTTAAATTTTTATTTTTTCGAAATTCACTTTAATTAAACTTTTATGCCATATTAAAGCCCATTGCTATATCGAACTGTATCAGGAACACAATATATGTTGAAGATGCTTCAAGCAACGAGCATGCTTGCTTCAAATCAAGATCAAAAAGATAGCATGAAAATTTTAATGGGCAGCATTTGATTAATTCCATTAATGTCAATGTTTTACTCTCTAAACTTTTACTAGATCTTTTGGATATGAATTTTAACAATCTTATCATGTGATTTGCCTGAAATGTTTCAAAAATTGATAATTAATAAAGTTAAATTTTAATAATTAAATGACAATTCACATTTTGTTCTACAGCTTCTCCTAGAATTGTGATCAGTGCTGGAAAAAATATCAGATACAGGAACCATAGAACTGTAAATATTGCTTTTTGCTTCATTTGAGTGTCAGAAGTTGTTAATGCTTTGTAGCAAACAAATCCTGTGTAGATTGAGAAGACAAAACACAGAAAGTATCCAAGTAAGCTACAAAGTCCACCGACATGACTTGCTTTCTCAAGTGCTTTGAACAAATCATGATAAATTTGATTAAGCTTGACCATCACTTGCGTTTCTCTTCTGTTATCTCTAACTTGAAATGAATTCTGATCTTCAAGAAATCGAAAATTAAGTCTGCAAACAATTGAGAATTAATCACTGCAAATTTGAAATAAGCTTGTCCATACTTTATAGCATCGAGTATATTCTTCGATCTGATCAAAAAGCACAAGCTGATAGTTAACACGCCGCCCATAGATAATGAAAAATACATCCCTGAATAATTATAAATCAATATATTTGACATCGACATGTTTAGACGGTTCATGGCTATATTCAACGGAACCATGATCAAAATAAAGTTTGCAACAGTGACTGAGAAGTAGAATAATGTGATGAGCATGTGGTTAAGTTTCAATCCTAAGGAAATAAGCTTTAAATTGACAGCAATTAGATATAAGATTTATTATAAATTTCCTGCTGCATACCTGCTCATCAACCTTATGAAGGAAAAGCACTAATTGCCATATTTTTTTATATTCGATAAAATAAAGTAGCATGCTAATTAATGAGATCACAACTGCTACATTTGCTGATATTAAGTTCCCAAAATCGATTAAAAAATTCTTGTCGACCTTAACATCATTTTGTAGCCATGAATTATAGATGATAAAGATTCCTATGCATGATGATGCAGCATAACAAAAGACATCCATTAGAGTTATGTAAACCTGATTATTCTTGTCAATTGAGAATGCTGCAAATCCAACGTACTTAAAAATACTTAAATTAATTTTTACATAATGAATGAAATTTTTTTCAGACATCCTTTGTCAGTTCCAAAATATTGACTGACTAGACTTAATGAATTAATTTTTATTTATTCCAATTAATCACTTTTTGGAAATTAATATATCATAAAAGTTTATGAAGGCATTAATTGTTAAAGAATCTATCGCACACTGGATTCAAATTAAAGTAGAGTCTCATCATTAGAGATCGCTTTTTTCCAATATAATTCATAATCAACACAATTTCTGCTTTAGTTTTGATTCCACATTCACGGATAGCATCAAGTTAATATTTGAAATGTTACTTACCGCACCTTAATCGGAGCTCAGTTTGCTCCAAATCATCCTTCAACGATTCGTCGGTCTCAGTTTTGGACTTACCACGTCTAATTCGATTGCCGTAACAATCTGTAAACTTTGTTTGGTGTTCTTGGAATCATATCCTTAAAGCATCTTGAATAACTGTTTGCTTGGGAACAATTTGATAATTTACTATCAAATCAAAGTAATCAGCTTCAAACCCTATATGCTGCTTAATAAAATCTGCAAACAGTTGCATTTTTATCAAATTTTACACCATTTTACACCAATTTTTGAAGAATTGAATGTGACATTTTAATGTATTTTTCAAGCTAATCGCTGATGATAAGCACAATCTAAAGTGTGTGGATGATAATTAATAAGTATTAATGAGTATTAATTACATTACAAAATGCTTTAATTCACCTGATTCTTTATTTGTAAATTAATCTTTTTCACGAAAATTCGTTAAGTTTAAACTGAAACAAATTTCAAATTTATATTGACTGTTACAATTTAAGTTTTTAAAACCCGTTAAAATTCAATTAAACATAATTTTATTACAGATATAAGCTATGTTAATATTAAATATATTATGGATATAATAATAAATGTAATAAAGCATAAGCATGATTATATAATAATTTATTTTTATGATGGATTTACAACATTTAAACACATCAATTGAATTCTCCTTTGGATCTTAATGCTTTTTAGGAGCTCATCAACATATCTGAATGAATAAAAGAAAATAATGTTCATTAAATTATGATAAGTAATTGAATTATTAATCATCATACCTATTCTCATCATTGCTTAATTTGGGTATTGCGTCCATAGCTTCATTAAAAGACAATTTTGCTCGTTCATTGTTGTAAAGCTTAAGTGAGTCTCTTATCATTTTGATATCAAGTATAGCTTGCACTCGTCCACAATTGTTAAACTGTTCAACACTATTCATAAGTCTCGACAGCTCTTCAGCAATTGTTTGAATTATTTGCTCTAGAATTGGACGTAACAGGAATGGTGAAACAGCAAATATCTCCAAATAAACTCCAACAATATTGTCAAGACACTGATTAGCCCAAAAACTTAACTTATCACATTTCTCAATCGTATTCCATGAAAAGTTATCTGACGAGAACATGCTTGGCTCGATATGAGACACAATTGTGTCATTCTTTAATTCAACATAAATTTCAAGGAGATTAGCAAAAACCATATTCATATTTGATCGTCCATTTTCAAGTGCTAATTTAGGAATCGGATATCCATATTTAGTAAATAAATTTCCCAAATTATTAATAAACATTTTATTGCAATATGCAGCATTAGCTAAGCAGTAAAGTAGTCGATGCTCCCATGTTATTGTTATTGTAGAAATCGCTGTGGATTTCGAGTCATTTAAGGAAGTATTCACTGGAAATCCAGTAATATTGTGTCTTGGTAAAGGATGAATTTCATCATCAGATCTTTGCGTTGCCAATTCCTCGATAACTGTACTAAAACATCCTAAAGCTGTTTCAATAATCTTTGATACTTCATGATATCCTTCTAAATTATGAATGCCATCAAATAATGGATTTTCCCTTACTTCCAGCTGCAAACACATTTGTTGTCCTTCGTCAAGTGATTCGGCTAAGATTTCTTCAAACTTCTCAGGCAAAGCTGTTGCACCTGGAAATTCCTCAACTTTCATGTCCCATCCTTCCTTCTCGTCAAGTCTTTTAACTTTATCAATTGACTTTTTGAGAATAGTAAGCAAGCAAAACAATCGTAGCTCATCGATAAGCTTTAAAACAACATCAAGAACTTCATTTGGAAGATCTAAGCGAATTAGTGACGAATAAGTTATTCGTAGATAGCGTAGACATGTAGGTAGCCAAGTACTTATTAAAGCTTGTTGTGATGAATTTGAAGTCCATGGTGGAACTGATGAGAACTTTTGATAATAGTTGGGAAGAATTGATGATCGAATGTAGCAACAAAACTTTTCAATTACATTAAGGATTATTTGTTTAAAGTTTCCAGGTTTTGGTTCGTTAATGCCACGAAGTTCTCCTGTAAAATATGACTGTCCCAATCGCCATAAATCTGGAAATTGTCCAGCAGCAATTTCATTAATTTCTTCACAAAATAAAACTCTTATTGGAAGTGAATTTTGATCACGTTTAACGGAATTATTTTCTTTAGCTTGCACTTCCCGTTCTTGAAACTCTTCGTATGTTCTTTTAAATGTTTCCTCAATATATCGTGCACGACAAAACAACGAATCCCAAGCTGGATCATTAATCTTCAACCTTTCATATTGCTTCGTTCCAAATTGTTGAATTTCTAAATTTATTAAACATTTAACAAATTTCTTTTGTTGCTCAACAGCTTGTGGCATTTCCTTTAACTTATTGTGCAAGTTCTTTCTGACTTCTAAAATTATTTCATCAATTTCACTCAAAACTCGTTTAATTAATGGAATGTCAACTTTTCCTGAATATAAATTCTTGACTCTCGCATAGTCATTGACTATAATGTCAAATTCATTATTGTCTGCATTTTTCTGGATGCTCATTGGCAAACAAAATAAGAATTTATAACGATTAAGGACTGAGAGAGCTGCACGTGATTTATCAGCCTTTTCTCGACGCATTAAAACATCATCGAATAAAGCATGAGATGAATCAATTGATTGCGAGATTGTTCCTTGAAGATTATGAATTCTTTCGGCAATTTCAACTTCGCCATTGTTATCAATCTTATCCTTTAATTTCATCATGGTATCTAATTGATCAATCACAGCACCAACATGAGTTTTAAGGAAGCTTAATTGACCTTCTTTCTGTCCTTCAACTTTCCTTTTTAAATACGAATATCCAGCTTTTAAGTCATCAAATGATGTTGCATGATGATTCTCTAATAGGAACCAGTAAGGCGAGAAATTCTCTCTTGATAAATCTCCACTATTTTCAGGAAATATTTCACGTAAATCTTCTGTGAACTTTTTGTCATTTCCTTCGATCGATAAACTCAATGGATCTTCCTGACTATGATAACTTGATGTAACCATTCGTCTCTGACCCCATGTGAGTGACTGAATTGGAGTTTCCTCAACCCAAACAGCAGACTCTTTAAGTGGTCCAATAGACTCTACATATGTTCTGAACTGAACTGTGCAATTTCCAACGCCTCCACTGCTTGTTGTGACTATCACATCGCCTTTACCTAATAGTAAAATGATAAATGAATGACAATCAAAAGATCCAGAACAAAGTTAATACCTTTAACTCCATTAATTCCAGTTCTTGCGATAATTTTATTCTTTGACTGCCATTCAAATGAGCACTCTCCTCCACATATTTGTACAGATATTAAGTCATTAGCACGTAGTCCCAAATTTTCACCTCTTATTGTAATTTTCGTTCCAGCTGTTTATTTTATAATAAAATAATTAAACTTCTTAACTTTAATTTCATGTTTTTGATCGAATTGAAACTTTTAATGCTTAGATATGTTTGTGCTTACCAGGCCCTTCTTTTGGTGATATTCCAGTTACAAGTGGAGGTATCATTTTAAACCAGGAAACTTAATTAAAATGAATTTCTCAATTATTTTATCTTTATATTTTTGTAAACAAACAAATTCACGTCATTAATGCTCTTTACTAAAGTTTCAATTCGGAATGACTGCATGTCATGTTTATATGCTCAATTCTGTGCTTTATTCAGCAAACATTGTCTTGATACCAGCAAGCCTGTTATCAAATATTTCAGTTAAAAATTGTGCAAAACATTTACAGTTTTTTCATGGATATTGTCTTCCGTGCGTGTTATTATTTTTGTGTATCAAAACATTTTACTAATCATGTCTTAAATAAGAAGATCTTTTAATGATACATTAACTTTACAGTACTTTTTGCTTTTAAAACAGTCAAAACAATGTCTTTACTAGCAATAGTTTAAGAATGTGCGGAAGTTCAATGTAAAAGTCAACCAACGACTGTTGTTTACATTTTTTTTGCGAACTAAAGTGAAATTTTGTTTAAAATAATGAATTAAAGTATTCTTAAATAACTATGGAACCGTGCTTGGCGACAGTTTGTGACAGTTGTGGTAAGCAATTTTCTAACGTTTATACATTAAATGCTCACAAGAGACAAGTACATGAAAATAAGAAACCTTACGAATGTAATAAATGCACAAAGTCGTTCTCAACAAAATACAAATTAAATAGACACACTCAAGGAATTCACTCTGATGTTCGAGATAAGTTTTGTGAGATTTGCGGACATGCATTTAAGACACGAGAAATGTTGATTAAGCATCATCGTACACATTTTAAAGGACCTTTTACTTGTCAAAAATGCAATGAAGTTTTCAAGTATAAAGCAAGTTTTGATTATCATTTTAAAATTAAGCATGAAACTAAAGAACCTAGCGAGTTAAAGACTAATGATAAAGTCAAAAGCTTTGAATGTAAGATATGTTTAAAAGTTTACAAAAACTTCAAGTCTCTTCAAAATCACGAAGAAAATCATAACAAAGGATCTGAAAATAAAGTCAAAAGAGCTGCACTAGAAACTTTCGTATGTTATTTCTGCAACAAAAATTTTGATCATAAACAGGATTTTGAAGTTCATTTGACATCACATGAGGACGATTTAGAATATAGAATTGAAAGTATGATTGTTGAGGAGTCGTCTGACATCAATAATATAATAATAGAGCAAGAGTCTGAAATGGAATATATACAAGAAGACAGTTTAGATATTGCTGATAGAGCAATTAAGCAGGAACAATTACCAGAAATTATTGTTGATGCCTGTCATTCTTTTGAAGAGGTCACAGAAACTGTTGATGCACTTATTAAAGAAGAAAATGTTGATCACCAAATTATTAGCTTCCATTCATTAGAGTTTAAACCAAAGCAAAGGATAAAAAAGGAAAATTTTGAGAAAATTATTTGTGACATTTGCGGAATGCTTTTCATGAATAAATCACATCTTAGACGTCATCATGCAAGAAAACATCGTGACAAAAGCGAATTTAAATATGAATGTGATATTTGTGCTGCAAAATTTTTACTCCGTTACGATTTACAAAGGCACATGATTAAACATAATTCAGTCCGTGACATCGAATGTCCACAATGCCAGAAACAATTTAAAACCAAATCATCACTAGATTGCCATATCAAGTCCATTCACGATAGAAGTAGAAGTAAATCAGAGAAACAATTCGTTTGTAACATTTGCTCACGATCTTACTTTCATAAACGACATTTGGATTATCATACAAGGTAAGATTTTAAATTAAATGACTGTCCTTTATTTAATTCATATTAATATTATTACATTCTCTAGAAAGCATACAGATGATCGAAGATATGGATGTGATAAATGTGATAAATCATTTCTGTACAGTGATGCAGTAAAGTGGCATCAAATAAGAGTTCATAAAGAACCACCTCCCTTCGTCTGCAATCTTTGTCATAAAAAGTTTATACATTTTAAGACTTTTGAAACACACTCAAAGGAGCACAATGAAGAAACAGGATCATTGTCTGTGACGTGTCCGATTTGTAAAAAGAAAATATCGGAAAAACGGCATCTACCTAGGCACGTACGTACACATTTAAAGAAAGGATTCAGTTGCCATTTTTGTCATGAGTCATTTAAAGAGAGATTTCAACTTACAAAGTAAGAAGTTTTATTATTTTGCAAAATATTCGTAACATTAATTGATCAATTATTTCATTTTCAGGCACTTGTTACAGTGCGAAGATAAGCATAACAAAGAGGTGGAAATTATCTATGAATCGTTTGTTGAACAGGAATAATAGAACATGAAATAACATTGGAATCGAATAAAAAAAATTTAAAATTTAAATGATTTTGACTTTTTCTTTATCGGCTTTTCTATTGCTACAAGATATTAATTCTTACAGTAATTATCAGACACAATTGGATTAAAATACATTTTGATGATAATCGAGACACCTGATTTTTAATTAATTTATCATTTCCACTTTAAGATAGGTTCACAAAAATTTCGTTAAAAGTTTAAACTGAAACAAAATTCAAATTTATTTTGGCCGTTACAAATCCAGGAACAGCTTTAAAAAGTATTCTACAACTATTAAGCGTGTCTTATAAATCCAGAATGTTCTGAAAACCAATAAATTAAAGAATCATATGTGTTAAAGAACAATGTTAATCTTTATTCAGACATACAAATAATTTAATGCAAAATTCTCTAAAGATATCAAGTAAGGAATTAAAAACTACATCTATAAGATTACTACATTAATTAAAACATATTATCCTCCATATAAACGACCAATCAAAATGACGTCAGAGTCATTCTTAATTTCACAATCACGGAGAGTTGAAACATCACTCAAATCACGTCCATTAAAAGATATGCGTTGATCGCAAACTGGATATTTCTCAACGGCATTTAAATGCTCTTTTAGATTCAAAATTGTCTTCGAAGGAGCCAAGTTAACTCGAATACGAGTTCCATTGCATAAACGGACTGTAAATGAGATCTTACGTTCTTGCAAATCCAATTTTGAGTTTACGGTGACATTTGCTTCTCGTAATGTCATATTTCGAGGAACAACTTTGCCATTAACAACGAGATCATAATTGTCAGCATCTGCTTCCTTCCACATCTTAATTAGATCAGAAATGGACGTTGTATCATTTAATTTCAATTTGACATTGATGTAGTTCACGTCAACATTCATTGACATACTTGACGTATTGCGCAAATTCTAAAAAAGAATAAGCTATATTTAAGCATCTATTACCTATAACATAAACTACTTACCATGCACAGAACCGAGTCATTTGCAACATTGTAGTCATTGAGTGTCATTTCATCGTTAAGTTTTCGTCCATTAAAAGTCATTCGTTGTTGATCAACTGAAACTTTCTTAACATCATGCAAATAATCTTTGAGTGACTTAATAGTCTTGGTCAGACCAAATTCAATAGGAATTGATGATCCATTGTCAAAACGAACGATGAATTTGACAAGACGTTCTTGAAATCGCAATTTTGCATTTCCATCGATTCCAACTTCCTTCAATTTCTTGTTTTTAAGAACAGCTACACCGTCTTTTATCAAATCATAGCAATCAGCATTTGTACCTTTGTACTGCTTGATTAAATCACCGACAGTTTCTTTCTTGTCAATTCTTTTTGCGACATAAATGTTTGTCATTTTGATGTAATCGTTTATTAAGGCTCAATTAAACTGATCTATTATGATAATTGAATAGTTATGCTGATTATTTTTTGTTAATAAGATATAAATATGTCCTGCAAATAGTTTAATTTACCTAATTTTAATGGAGCAAATTTGTGCACGTTTTTTCTCACTAAACCGTTAAACTCAACTGAAGAAATTCATAAAATTCAAAATTATTTTGACCGTTTTTATTTTAAAAATTGTGATGAAATTTTATGTTTTTAGACTTACAGCAGATAGTCAATTAAAAATTCAGTTTTCAATTATGTTAATTAAGCTTAGTTTGATGTAAATATTTGAATAAAAGTTACGATCTTCTCAATACTTTTTGACGCTACTGTAGAGCCCACAATGATTCAGATTCGGAAAAAATGTTCAAAAATTCAAAAATAACATATTATTTAAACTACATGTTTTAAATGCCAGATTAAAGATCTTAACTTAAGGCATATTCAGTGAAAATATCTCGTTTCAATTTGATGTCTAACTCCAGAAATCTTTAATTTATTTTCAACAAAAATTTGTTTACATTTTTTTTTTTTGAAAAAAAACTTCGATTTTCTCTACTTTAAGTTATTATTTCCTTATCTTGCTAGCTGTTGCTAGCTAAGTTAAGCTTAGATTTGCATATTAAAACTACCAAATCGAAAGAAAACTGCTTATTAAGTCTTAAAAATGCAATTGAAATCTGATTATTTTTACAAAACTTAAACTATTCATAAGTTAAAAAGTCTTCCAAAGACCTCTCTGAAACCTATATAAATCGATTAATTAAGCTTAAATCTATCTCCCATATTACTGAGGATTTGCCGTTTTCGAGATATTTGCGATAAAAGTTTACATAAATTTTCATACAAAATATGGTCATGCACAATATTTTTGATAAACTTTTACAAACTTTTGGTAAGAAATCATATTTATCCTTTATATTAAGGACTGATATTTTGAGCAATGAACGAAAACATTATATAGAAGATGCTAGAAGAATTAAATCAAGAGAAATTAACACTTTCAATTTTCTAATGTGTTGAAAAAATATTGTGCCCAAGGAATTTTTAAACATTTTTTTAAAATCTGAATCATTGTCGAGCCTATTTTGGAACATATTTATCATTATAACTGAAAATGAAGGGAATTAAAGCGCAACAAAGGTATTTGAAGGTTTGTCAATGTTAATCTTTATTTATTTAAAACCTAGTTTAACTTGTATGTATTTCTTTCGTGATGATAATAAAGTTACATTGTCTTACAGTTTTTATTATGTAATGTTCATGCAAATTTATCCTCCATTGCAACGATTTGCAACTAGCAATGACGAATTATTCTGAATTTTGTATTGACGAAGTGAGCATGAATCATTTAATTCGTTATTGCCGAAAATTAAGCGTGGATTTTCGTAATCAAGCATATAAGTTTCTCGCATTTTATACTTTAAATCTTTGACAGATGCAGATCGTGGAATATCAATAGGAAATTTTCGACCATTGCGAGATTCCTTGATAACAATCGTATTCTTTTTTTCAATTATCTTAGCTTGTCCCTTTTTAGGTATATATGCTTCACGTAATGTCATGTTTCGTGTTAAAACTCGACCCTCATACTCCATATCATAGTCATCATAATATTCACTATCTACTGTCTTGATGACATCTTCAACAGTCGAGGAACTTTTGATTGAAATCGACATATCAATTCCACTGTCATTAGAAATATTAAGATCAATTGTGTAGTCTTCATTAAAATCACTTTGCAGCAAACTGACTAATTCCTCTGTTAAGTGATTATTTCCACCGTTAAGTGGTGTTTCATCTCCACAAACGCTCTTATTATCTTCGGAACTAAATAATTACATCATTAAAGCTACCACAGATGAATTACCCTTAATTTAACTTACGTATTTCCAGACAAAAGTTCATGATCACTTACAAAATCTGAGCAAGATTCATTATCTCCTTCAATTGTAATATCATCGTCAAACCTATCAAATTTTGAAAATTAGCACAAGATATAATCACCAATAATAATATATTTTAACTTACGCGTTTTCAGACATCCTTATTACTTTTTTTTTTGTCAATTAAATTGTCAAAATCTATTAATTTTTGTAAATTTTGACTTTCAATCAAAAATAGGTCTTCCCTCTTTAAGGTCCAAAATTGGAATGACAAAATTCTGAGAAGCAGTACCGATTAAGCACGAAAACCTTACAATTTCTTTGACTATTGTAAGGTTTTCAAATTTATATCAAGATTTCTTTATTATCCTTAAGTATCCTGCAAGACAGTACAAACCAAAACATTACATGAATTACAATCCCTAAAAATGTATGTGAATATGTAGCATAACTATGTTAATTAAGGTAGAAATTTAAATTTTCACAATCCGACTAAAACCTTTCAAATTCTCGAAATTTTTGAAAAAATAACGATCCGAATAACCTAAATCAACAAAACAAAAACAAATAAATAGTTTAATTAAGCAAACTTAAAGTTTATAAGAAGGAATCATAGTTTTTACAATAACGGAATTAGTAGTTTTAAACAGAGGATTCAAATTTGAATTGTTTTTGAGCAAAACCGACATATATATTGTCTAAAAATGAAGAGAATTAATTCTATTAAAAACAGTAGTTTGACTGAGTCTGAAGGAAATAAAAGTGTAATTTTTGTGCCACAAAGCTCTCCTAAAGTCATTGTCCTAGATGATTCAGACGATGAAGAAGAAAATGTAAGTTTTTGATAAGATCCAGTAAAATTATCTTTAGAATAATATTTTTTAATCTACAGAGAGGAACTGAATACTACAATGAGGAGCTCAACATTTGGATAGACATGGAGAATCCAAGAGAATGGAAGGAAGTTAATATCAAGTCAGATATAGCAATGATATTCGATAAATTGAAGGCAAAATATTTTTGTGGGAAGATTGATCCTGAATTTAAGATCTGTTTTGACTTAAATCATGCTATTTGTGATGGATCTGCTTTCAAAATATTAGAAAAATCTAAAGCAATACTCGTTAATCAATCAACGTTAGTTCGTCCAAGAATCCAGCAAATTTCAATGGTGCTTCACATTCTGATTCATCTGTATCTCAATAAAGTATCAGACTTTAAAATTGGAATTAACAAGCATGATGACAATTTTCGCAGCATAATGCACTACCTTAATGAACGATTGTACTCAAACATTTCAATCAATCATAAATTTGGATATACTCAGGAGGAAGTAGATTTTCCAAAACAATGGTGGTTTTGTACAGGAATTTGTCAAAATTACCTTCCATTCCGAGGCATAATTCGCAGTCCAGTAATGCCAAATGAGACGATGATGTTTTGGCAATTGCATCACACCAAATGCACTGGAACATTCTTTAAAATCTTTGAAATTCGACAAAGAATCTCGTCTGAAGAAGTTGACAAAAAGTATATTCGATCTCCAGCATATATGAATCCACAAGCTAGCGACATTCAAGACAAAGTAGTAGGAAAAGTCCCAAAAGCCCAACAAGGAATGATAAATCCAATTCGAGAGCAAGTTGATCTGACAGAAGAGAGTGATAGATTAGTTGTTAAGAATCTCTGTGACGTCATTGATCTAGACGACAGTCAGTATAACATTGTTGATCATTCCTCAACATATCTACAGCAATTCATTACATTAAACCGAATAGTAAATGAGAATATTTGTCCATTTTGCCTTAACCACATATTTGTATCACGAATGGCTGCACATTTCGATGTCTGCATGGGATATCAGCAACAAGTTCAATACTCACCATCATCCAGACATTAAATTTAATAATTAAACATAGTTTGCGTTTGAATATTTTGTAAAAATCTTGTTCAAAATTTTAAGTATGAAGTTGATTCGTAATTTTTGTCACTTTTGTAAGACTGACATGTCACGACTAGTTTTCATTCCAAAATCAATAAAGATGCCAATAGAAAATTACGAAGAGCCTGAAGAATGGTGTTTGAATTTCGAAAAACCAAGCCAAGTGAGACCAAAAGCATTTATAATTCATTGTAACAAGGAAATAATTGGTGATGAAGTTGGAAAGGATGAAGCATGTGTGTACAAAAATCCAGAATATTTCTCATATCATCAATTAACATATTACAACATTGAAGAGGATTTATATTGCAAAAGATGTAGACCACAGCCATCACCATTTTGGAGAATTCTTTTCGATCGTACTTCCACTAATCGATCACCATAAAATAATTAATTATTTTAATAAATGTCTATAAATAAATACTTAAAAAACATTTTGTCTGCTACTTCCATTTCCTAGTTCATTGTTCGAGCAAATTTAGCACAGTCTATTGTTTATTTTTACCGCTACCATCAGAATTGACATTTATTCAAGATCAATGTGAGTGGATATAGCGGCATGAAGTTAGAAGAAAGTTATTTTAAAAACAATGCGGAACTGAATGACGAAACAATCGTTTCCCTTTCATGCATGCATGATACATCTTGTATGTCTGTTGACAATTCTAAACCTTTCTGGATTTCCTTGATATTTTCCAGTGCTTGCTTGAAAGCTTCGAATCATACCCGCATAAGCTGATTTGTTAGAGGCATGCTTAGTAACAAAGCAGGAACATTTCATAATAAATTAGCATTTTTTATTTGCCGGTAAAAACCGAACATGGAAATAGGCAATTGATGTACTGTGATAAAGCTAAGAGCTTCGTGAATATGTTGTATTTGATGCTTTGTTGATTTGACACTCAATATATTGAGGATGGTTAAATCAGGAAATAATATTTTTAACGATTTTTTCTTTTAAAAATTAAAAACAACGACTTTTATTCATCTCAATAGAAAAGGAAATAGACAAAATTGAGGAAGCACAAGTTCCTTGACATTAATCATATTGCATCGAAAATCCTCCAATAATTTGCACATTGTCAATTATCACCTGCAAATCTCAATGATGACCATAAAAAGTTTCAATACCCAACAGTTCAAACAAGTTCAATGATCATGACTCGAGACCAGAGCTGAAAGACATTCATTATCAGTAAAGTAAACACCAAAAATAAATTTCATTGTCAAAATCATGGATATAAAAATAGCGACACTCAGTATTTTCACACATCACGTTTTAAAATAATATAGAGGAACTAAGTTCGACTGATAAGCACATGAAGGTTAACTTCCAATATTTGTGAATGAATGTATGAGTATAGACATTATTATATATAACATACCGTTTAAAAATGCAGAACATTAGTCGTCTTGCAACTTGTATCAAATCACAATCGGATTGAGTGACAACAAAAAAATGTCCAGGTGGATATTGTTCCTACAATTTGCAGTGACACTAGCAGTTGGTGAATTAAATCTTAGCAATTATCCATGCTATAAGCCACAAAGATTAAATTATCGAAATTCAAGGATTGTTGGTGGACATAATGCATTGAAGGAACAAGCATCATACTTAGCAGTGCTTACTAGAAGTGGTGGAAACATTTTCTGTGGATCATCTATCCTTAACGAAAAATTTATTGTCACTGCCGCCCATTGTATCTGCAATAATAAGAACAAATTTATTCAACCGAATCAGATGAAAGTTTATGTAGGCATTCATGAAACATCAGAGATACAAAAGATTCAGTTGAATGAGATTGATGCTGGCATGGCAAGTGAAGTGATTGTGGATAAAATTATCGTACATCCTGATTACGTTTGTGGAAAGAAGTCGGATAGTGACATCGGTATGTAGCTAAGGGTTAGTTCATAAATTATGTCAAGCTTTGCTATCCTTGGAGTACAGCTCACCATAATGCACCTTACATCTTCATATGATCATCATTTATGGAGTTAAGTGTGTTTCTGGGTGGGAAACATTCTAAGGAAGTGCAGTGAATTTAGGGAATTCAAAGACATCACTTAGTCATTTATGAACAGCCCTTAACTAGAAAAAGGGTAATAAATTCATAATTCTAATGATAACTATCTTCCCACAGCCTTATTGGAACTAAAGAAATCAATAAAATTCAGTGATTACATCAAGCCCGTATGTGTTGAGACAAAGGACATTAATATCTCAACTCTAGGTATCGTAAGTGGATTCGGAATGACACATGAAGATTTTTCGATTGGTGAGAAGCCAAAAACATTACAGTCAGCAAATGTCCCAATATGGGCAAATGATGAGTGTCAGACGAGTTATGAAAGCTTAGGTAAAACATTCACAATATCGAATCGACAAATTTGTGCGGGCGGAAGAAATGGGGCGAGTATTGATGCATGTTATTCTGATTCTGGAGGGTATGAATTGTTTTTCATTCTTTTTCTTATTATGGAGATTAATTAAAGTATGTTTATTGATTATATAAACAGACCACTCGTTGACATTAAAACAGGAGCTTTAATTGCTGTTGTATCCAATGGAATCGGTAATTTTTCTATTAACATGATGAATCATAAACATTTACAATTAATTTCCTTTTTGTTTAATTAAAGGTTGTGGGAGAAGTGGATTGCCGGGTATTTATACTAGAATAACACAATACACTGAATGGATTCAAGCACAAACTAAACTGTAAAAGTACAAAACTCTGTGATAACTTTCTAGTCAATAAAATAAATTCTGTGATACAAAAAAAATGTTCCTTAATTCACTTCTGCCTCATGTATGTCATGACGAAGCTTTTAAAAGTCTAGAAACGAACTTTGTTCTATGAATAAGAAAAAATGCTGCATCACTAATGATGGTTAAAAAGTTTACAACTGTTAGAAATCAGAAGTTATTCTATATGAAGACATGGAGCTTCATAATTTCAATTTTCCACAACTTTTTTGATGTGTGAGTTCATGCACAAATTGATATTAATGGTTTTGAACCCTATAGAGCAGCCAGTGATGTTCAAACTTTTTTTGTCTTGCTACAAACTCTTTTAAAACCTTAAACTAGTTTTCGTTTCAACTCTCTTTTGAGTCAGCTGCAATATATCTTGCGGTTCGTTCCAGTATTTGAAAGTTGTTCATTCTTGCTACATAATTACATCCTTCATCTTTGTTAAGAAGATTGAATAGGATTCTAGAGGAATAAGGTCTTGTGGTGTGTATCAATTCAATTTAGTGTTAAGAGTATCTGGATTTTGTAATATGCATGGGAAATGAACATCTGAGGACATTACTCTTTTATTCTAATTGTGTGTAAACTGCTGTGTCATAAAATAAACTTATATCTAGCATAAAGATAACAAGACAAAAGATCTTCTTTTTTGTTGATTTTATTTTTTATTTCTTTAATTATTTTGTCCAAAAATACACATTAATTAAATGTATTTGATATATGATATTTAATATTCATCCAAATTAGCATTAAGTGAATTTCTGTGGTCTCATTCTATATCTTTTCTTGAGTCTATCCTTAAATATCATTCATCATAGATTTTTTTATTTAAATTAAAGTCAAATAAGTTAAAGCACATCGAAGATTGAAAAGCGGGATGAGTATTTTTTTCAAAAATTGCAAATGCTTTTATTTTCAATCATTTTCCGTGAACTTCAATTTTTCTTATCATCATCATCGTTGTTAAAAGTCTGTAAGAGCGCCCATTCTGTCAATTTCATCAAAGTTTCTTTTCTTGAAATCATAAAGACTTCCCATTCGGTCAATTTCGTCGAAATTTCTCTTTTCAAAGTCACTCAAGCGATCAATCTCATCAAAGTTGCGCTTAGGTTGTTCCATAAGGTGAGCTCCATAAGGATGGTTGTAGATGTTGTACAATAATGCTCGGTGATCTGCATCTAGCTGTCCTTTCTTTGATAATGCAAGGCGTCCGCTTTTTGAAATGATTTTAATGAATTTCAATAGATTTTTATAAAATAGAAAAAAATTGTTTGTGAATCTTATAAAGTTGTAGATTATATGAATTGAGAAAAGCATTCAGACAAGATGTTGTGGTTATGAGTTTGCAAATAAAGCAGTTATTGCTGTGGTAACGACGTCTTGCAGTTTCTAAAGCAGATGTCATAATGTCTTTTATAGACTAACGTGTGTTGAATTTGATGAGTTTTGTTTTCATTGATAAAATGAAAGCTTTAAAGGTTAGTCATGATTGACTTCTAGAATTTGGTTGGCAATTGTTTTAAGTTTTGTGTTACAGCTTTAGTTATTCTCAAATTAGAAGGAATTAACAAATAACTTCAAAACTTTAATCATTTTAAAACCAGCTTTTGAGATTTTTTTGCTTGGAAACCTTATAACAATCTTTAGATAGTTTGTCAGATGGAAGCATTAAACTCTTAAGCTCGGGAATTGATATTCTCAATAGATGTACTTGTAAATCTGAATTAAAAGAACTCAAAACTCTCAAAGTCATCATAACAATGTTAATACATAATATTTCTCAATAATCCAGCATATTCTCATTTGTCACTCTTCATAAATTTCTTCCAACCATATTGACCCATAATTTTTGCATCACATCACTAATTCTCTTTTCTCATTGTATATCCTTAAAGATTATCAAACAATTTTCTCCATGGAACCAAAAATAGATTCAAATTCTTTCACACAAGATTAAGTTTACAAAAAAGAATATGTCCATAAGTTATTCAACCATAATTCATCATTACCTTCTTCCATGATTTTTCACAGCTTTGGGAGGCACAAAAAATTTCAAATTAAGAAAAAAGTCTGATTATAGTTCAGTTTTGAAAGTGGAAGTAATTAAAAATAGATTTTTAAAATTTGCTACAATTTATTAAATTAAATTTGCGTATGTATCCACAATAAGATCATTATTCACATCCTTTTTGATTGGTTTATGTACGAGAAGATTTGTCAATTTATAGCAAGTATCCACCGCCTAAACTATCAAGTGATCCTGCAGCTCTTTTAAGTAAATATCCCCCACCTAATGAATCGAGATTAGATCTCTTTAGTAAGTAACCACCTCCTAAGGAGTCTAGATTAGCTCTTTTCAGTAAGTAACCACCGCCCAAATTGTCCAAAGTTCGATGAACTCTCGTGATTTCTTCTGGATGTGCACTGTTGCTATTTCTATTAAAGTTTTCATAAGTCATTTGCGATTCAGTCATTCCAGGTCCTGTTTTAATAATTTTCAATTGTCATAAAATTTATCTCTTATTCTTTTTAAACTATCCCAGCACCGTACAATCAACCATCACCAGAGGATACACGACACATTACACAGAAACAAAGCTTGAACAATTCACGACTGCATTCATTTTTTTTACCTTCGTTCTGTTGTCTCAATTGCTTCAATTTCATTATGATTTCATCAACAATACTATTTCCATCGCGTACATCAGAAATCGGTGCTGCATTTGTTATTTGAATAATGCACAAGACTCCCAAGAGTAAATACACAACTTCACTTCTAGTCATTTTCATGTTTAACAAACAAAACTTTTATTTTATGTACACGACGTAAAACTGCCAAAAAAAATCCGTGCTACTTTACTCCTTTTTGAATAATTTATCAAGTTCACTTGATTATTGGAACCAAAAAAAGAATATTCTCTATGCTACGATACACACTGTAACTTGTTGAATTACTGTCTGAACCACAATGTCGAATGATATCGTCTTATATACGAAAAATTTCCTTTCCAGTTACGATGGATGATGACGATGAGGATGCGAATGTGTTAGTGTTGAACTCAATGTGACGTAATTAGTTCCTTCTGAACAAAAAGAGAGCTTTTTTGGATAGTCTCATAATTTTTCATTCATAGAAACATTTATTTAAAATATTTGTATTGTAGTAAAGCTTCTGGTCATTGATCATGGATAGAGCCGTCGTTAAGGCATTCTCGAATTTTATTCCTTTCATTTCTTCTCATTTTGATTGCATGAAATTATCATATTTCTTATGAAGTGACATGAAACATTTTTTTTTTGTTCATGCTGTCACATCGTAAATGATTGATGAAATTGATGACAACGCATGGTTTATTGTGTACTTTTTTTAGGCTGATTTTTAAGGGATATTCAACTTTATAATGTTTATTTTATGAATTGGGGATGAAAATTCTTGAAGGATCAAGGCTTATTCTTTGGAATCTGTTGGATTCACAGGTTCCTTATATCCCTTTTCAATAATAGATAGCTTTCCTGTCGATTTCTGAAACTTTTATTTCAACTTCTAGAAATTCTAAAATTAATTGAATAATTAAAATAAAATTGATAATTTTCTAGCAAGTCATATCTTCGTAAAGAGATGTGGGTTTGATGCGAGTTTCCTTTATCTTCAATATTTATTTTCTAGTTTTGAGTGCTTGAATTATCTTAATTTATGACTTCTTAAAAGACTTGCTTAAAAGCTCAAATATCTCCTCTCTCTCAACAGGGTACATGGTATAGGCATATATATATATATATATATGTAAATTAAGTTATAAATTGAGATAAATTCAGTTTGGTGCAAACATCTAAAAATAAAATCAAAAATTTCTAAAAGCTTTGAATTTCATTTATTCAAAAAAAATAGCCTTGGTTCCGATATTCAATACTGCTTGAATTTTAATGCCATCACAAAAAAACTCTCGTCCGAAGCAGAAGATTGTATTCTAAAAGTCAAGAAAAAGCTCCCCAAAAATCCATTCCGGTTGTAATCAGTCAAACATATTCAAAGTCATTCAACTGGATTTGTAGATTCAACTTGCCATTTACATCAATTTCTATCCACAGCAAAACTTACAATGTTGGAACTTTAAGTTCTCAAACATTATAAAAGGAGTTCCAAATTCATAAAAATCAATTCCAATTCATTCTTTAAACTTTGCTGAAAATTTCATTTTCTTTATTACAAAACTTTTTTATTGCATTACAGAATTCGACCTCAAAAAATGCTGAATGAAAATTTCATTTGCAAAACTGTTTGCTTGCTCAAATGCTTGAAATACCTGTGTTTGTAGACGCCGGCGGCTAGCAAAGCTTCAACGATGCTGACAGTCACTTGTTCGTCATTTTTAAATCAAATATTTTCTTCAATGTTTTTGTTTTCGTCAGTCAGATTCTAAATTTAAAGAAGGATATGTTGTGTTGAGTGCATTAGTTTAATTTGATTAGTTTTAAAGGATGTGGGGTTATTTCACAATGACGTCTAATATTTATAAGATATAAGTTTTGAAATATAATTTGATTAAAGGTTTTTTTTTCTGTTTACAAGTAACATTGGATGGTTAATATGCCTGGCTATACGCACATCCTTCCTGAATAAGGCTTGAATTTGATTGCCGTCATATTTTTGTGGACCCAAATCGAGATTAGAATATTTGATTATCGTAAAGGTTTAATAAGAAATTTAAAATTTATTCTAAATCATATTATCAAGTTCGAAGACAAACCTTTACAGACTATTTAGAACAACTATTAATTATAAACCTTAAAAAACACTTCAATCAGCAAATCATTTAATTATTTAAAGTTTCTAGAACTTTTCTTCGTGATGTTTCTCAATTTAAAGGCCTTATCTTACGCATGAGATATCAAAAGAATATATTTAAGCTCTTTATCATCATCTTGTGGACGTGAACGAAAATGAGGAATTTTCTTGTGCTGCTCACAATTATTTCCACTTTACACGTTCCTTTTTAATCGTCGATTGTTCATTTTATTTCAATGAATATCTTGAGAAATTTAATTTTGAAAAAAAATAAAGTTATGTCCTTTAGTCTCTGTCGTCCATAACATTAACATTGCTATCTATTAAATTTATGAATGACTGATCATTGCGGAGGTGTCCGATGCTGATATTAAAAAATGAATCATTAATTTGTGAGACATGAAAAAATCTTGAAATGCTTTTCTGGAATTCCTTCAATTTTCAAGAATTAAATTTCGTTTCTTTTGAAATAATTTTTAACTTGTCAGCATGCTGTGAATGTCCTTGTATGACTCATTAAATTCTCGTCCATGACAGTTCAAAAACACATTTTTGAAGAGATTTTTAAGCACGTCGTCAAATATCAACAGGATATCAATTTAAATGGAAAAATATCAACTTGGATACGCAAATCCAAGAGCAGCTAATTGACTTGCCTGATAAGAATATCAAACAGATTTTTTTAATGGATTTCAATTAACTAACCAATCTATTACATCAATTTGAGTACTTTGCCTGAATTATTATCACATGGTTGTGATTTGCGTATATTGCTGTAAAACAGAACTAAGTTAGGCATAAATATACAGTTGGAAAGTATTATGTAGAGCGCATATAACTTGTGTATGGAACCAAAATTGAATATGACCCCAATCATTTTGGAACTTTGCCAGTTTTTCTTTGAATAATCTTGCAAGTTGGCTTTTTAAGTTCTTAAGTTTTTAATTTAAGATTTTTCAATTGTTTCTAAATTAACAAAACCTTAGTGCATCTGGCAAGTGTATTACATCTGCTAAAGGAATCAATTATTAAGTTAAATCGAGTTAACACTAACATTATAGCTCTCAAAATGACATAGAATCTTATTACTATGTAAATTGCAAATTTTGTTTGAAAAACTTTTCAGACATCACATCATTTCAGCACAATCATAAGTTCACCAGCTTAAATTAATCAGTCATCATCAATTAATCCATCCAGTCAGCTTCCCAAACTGAAAAACAATTCACATTTGCGATCAAAAAAACAAGCATAAATAATATTTGCTCAACATGAGTAGCTAGAAAAAAAGAGATGGTTAATGATAATCATATCAACTAGTTTGCTTATCAATTAATATTTACTACATTGTAGAAACGAGGATTTATATTTATTATCTCTAATCATCATAACATTCTTGTCATCATTTACAACATAATATTGATACGCACAATAAAAATATATGTTCACAATATTGACACTCAAAATGAAAATCAAACGTCAGTGTTAATCAAATGCCTGAAATTGTGCACATTAAGTGTTTCCTATTTATGATATTGCGTAATATTTAATGTCTATACAGTAATTCTGATGATGATATCAATAAAAATATTAACAATTTAATTGATAAATGACTATGAACAAAAGAAATGTTATCGATTAAGATAATGGACCATCATAACATTAAGTTTCTTTTTTTTGCAATTTTCATTGTAATTAAAATGATTCCAAAGTTCACACTTCTTTTCTGGTATGAGTTGCAGTTTTTCTTTTGACTGGTCGTGTCTGAATGATTTTTCATAAGCGTATTTGTCGCTTGAATTTGTCAATTTAATTATGGACTAAGTTCTACAAGGTGTTTCATTTACATTCTGTATAATTATGAGTAAATTATTAATGCTTAGGAACTTATAATTAGACTTTATGAATTATAATTTAGAAAATTGTTTTGTGGAAGTAAACATTGAATTAAAGACTATAGTGGCGCAGTAAGTTTTTAATAGAAATTTTGAAAAATACAAAATGGTGGACCAAATTTTTTCCTCACTTCAAAAAGTTTTTCATAGTTTTTTCCATAATTAAATACTTTTCCATCAAAATTCTTGTTCAAACTTCATCTACTAAGTAGCAGAAATGTAATCCATAACTTTTATAACACATAACTCAACACTTAAGGTTCCAAATTTTAACATATTTATATTTGTACAAAACAAAAAATCGATGAGTTTCTTAATTTCTGATAAAAAATAATCCAAAGTTTTGTTATGTCTTAAATCCAGTGAGTTCTTATGTTCACAAAATATCCATCCATGAAAACTTCGCTCTGAATACGCTATGTCCGTAAAAACATTTCCAAAAGTACTTCCCTTTAGCTAATTACTCCCTAATATGATTAACAGTTCAATTATATTTCATGAACATTTCCATTAACTTTTAGGCTGTATCGTATGGGCTCATTTTGATCGCCACTTCTAGCACTCATAATAAATTTATGTCCGTCCTCCACAAAATGTGTGTCAGTTCCACCATCACAAAATTCCGGTCTTTCTTCTCTCAGTATTCCATTAAGGTAAATATTTAATGTGTCTTTTTCAAGCACAACGCGATAATTTTTGTCATTAATTTTTATTTCCCACGTTTTAAGGATCTTTGACTGTGCCTGATTGTAAATTTCGCACTCGATGCCATCGATAAAGAGTTTATAAGTATATTTGAATCCACTTGACGGAAATATGTGAATGATGCAACGTTTATCTTCAACAAAAAAGACATCTTCGCCTACAAGCCGATACATAATATCCCGTCTTAGAATTTCCTCACCGTTGACCCAAATTACACGCTTTCCGCTTATTGTTCCATGCTCAAGTTCAATATCAAATAATTTCCCATGAACCGGAAATAGCCATCGTGCAACGACATCATTTTTATTATGATTCTTCTTTAATTCCTCCCGATGATCAGGAATTGTGTCTTTCGTTTCCATTATGTCCTTCATGAAGTTCCAATGCGAGACTGAATAGTTTAATAATTTTCACTTTTTTCCTGCCTTGTTTGACTTTTAAACCCACAGCACATGTCCATTATATTTGTATGTCCGACATTCGTCGCTATAGTACTTTCTCCTTCCACAGCACGCAAAGAGGGTCATTAAAAATTTATTTCAATGCTATCACAAGCTGAGATTGTGGTGCAGTCACATGCAAATATTTTGACTTCTTTGTTTATCTCTTTCATGTACATACATGAATGTTTATTGTCACTTCTATTATATTTTATCGAATAAGTGACACGTTATAGTGTTGGAATAGAAAAATTTGAATGTAGACAACAACAACAGCAACAACATGCACGTTCTATAAAACAAATTTTATTCCTACGAGGTACACAAGAAACACGTTATAATTCCATCGGCAAATAATCAAGACTAATTTTTTTATTCCACGGCTATATGTAAAAGAATTGACTATTGAATATGAAAACAAAAAACTGACAAAAAGGCATACGAGAATGTAGAGAGTAAAAAAATAGCAGAAAATAAAGGAATTTCATATATTGTTGGGTTGCATGATTTCACTATTAAATTAATAGCCACTATAAAGCTGATTGACTTTTTTTTTTGGCTTTCCGGCAAATATCTCGAAACTTTTTAAGTTCTTCGTTTTGATTCTCCACCTAGATTTGGAGCTCATCAAAAAACGACATAGAATAAAGAATTCATTAAAAAGTAATAAAAGTTCCAAGTTTTACAAGGATATTTGAAAGAAGTTCTTTGTAGTGCTGGTAACACGAAAATATGTTGGAAAGTCATTGATTAAAATTTGTTGTTATTGGCGCACTTTATGAGGTGTTTAGGAATTGTGAAGGATTTTTTTCAAATTTGTCTCACAGATGCTGTTCCAATTGAGGAAGTCAGGAAGTCAGGAAGTCAGGTATCAGGATGTCAGGAGGTCAAGATGCCAGGATGTCGAGATTGGTTTAGTATGGTCCAAAATACTAAGAATCTTAATTCCAACAATTACATCACCAACTTCTATAGTCATAGAGTCAAGTAAAATCATTAACATAGGAATAACATATTAGTTATATAATGCTTGATTGGCTTAGCCTTTTGAACTGAAGGCAAAGTGATTGTAAATCTATTTACTACACTCTTAAGACCTACAGTTTAAAGTTGAATTCGAACCACTTGCATATTATCTATTTCGATAGTAAGATGTCTGTGACCTGATAATAAGGCATCAAATAAGGAATAAGTAATTCTTGCTTCTGTGAGTTGGTTCGATTCCCAACGAAGGCCTATCTTTCAATCATTGTAAAGCTTGTTTTCGGTTTGGCAACAATTCACAACATGCTTCCAGTTGAGTACGCATCAAGATTTTAAATAACATTCTTCTATAAATTTTTGCAGGAAGTCCTTCAATAATTTAATGTCCCATCTTTTAAAAAATAAACAGCATCAACAATTTTTATGTCAACAATAAAATTCACAGACAGAATTGCTGTTTCTCTCATAAAAAGTCAAGACAAAATGTACCGTGCCTCAATCGTTCTAAATTTCCTGTTTAAAAAAATTATAATCGAAAAATTTCCATAATATTTCATTCAAACTTTTCCTCTTTCCTTTTTTCTTTTATTCACATTATTTTTCCATCGTGTATGCTTTTTCTCTCCTTTTATTTTCGGGGGAGATAAATAATAATAACAATAATAATGTGAGTGTGGAAAGGCAAGAAAAAAAATTGAACTCATGAGTTATATTGTTCATATATGTATGTATGTCGTGTCTATTATTCGACTTATAATTTTTTTGAAAAAAAAATTTATGTTGATTTCTCATGGCATGAACATGTTGGTGTAAATTATTGTTAGTCTCCATTCACATTATTGCTTCACTTTATCCACTTCAATAAAAAAATATTAGGGAAATTGCTTTATCTTCTTGTGTCTATTGTGGGCTGTTGTTTGAAGTATTGATGGATCTCAACTGTTAATAATGAGGAGCAAGCGTGTCTAATCAAAAATTTGAATAGGTATAGTCGATAGAGGTTGGAAGCTTTTGGTTGGTAGTCATGCAAAATCTGAGTCTAGACCTATGAAGATTCCGTACCGTTATTTTATTAGACAATACTTAGGCAAAGTAAAGCTTGAAGATTATGAATAAATATCCATTTTTGATGTCTGTAGATTTAAGTTTGGCACTATCTTCGACTTTTAGTCTAGTCTCGTCAAAATCTTGTTCCAAAGCAATCAATTTCTGAACATTTCTCAGAACCCTTTCAATTTCCATTCAATAATTTCCAAAAAAACTTATATCCATATGTAAATTCTGACCTTATTTTCACTTTCATCGTTTCCATTATTTGAGTCATAAATCAAATACAAAATATTACATTGTATGTCACATAAAGTTTATCGACCATTCCGTGAAAGACATATAAATCGATTGAGAAATTTTCATATGATTTAATAAATGGGTAAGAAATCTTTCAGCACGGCTCACGCAAAGCTATCATGCGTTGACACTATGAGTGTATGATGAATGGTATTTACAGAAGATTGATTCACTAAAACAGCAAGAAGACTACATTGTTTTTCAAGTCAATGAAAAAAAAGGATTGACAATCACCTGGCTTTTAATCCACAACTATTTATTAAGGATAAAAATATTAAATTTCACATTATAGACTTTAACTTTTATTCATTATCTGATATCAATTAAATTCTAACAATGAACACACATCAAAATCATTAATTCCACCTTACATTCATGTCTTGTATATATAATAAATAAATAAGCGCCAAGCTTTACACTAGAGCTTTATTGAAGCATTTCAAATCCATTTAAAGGTATTATTCTATATGAAATTATTGGAAAACTTCAAAAGATAATGATCCTGTTTCATGTAAAGCACATATTATTCATAATATCATCGACTGATCCAATTTTGAGGCTTTAATTTAAAATAAAGTGAGTGGAAACACAATTAGAAATACTTATACTTTCTAAATTTCACCCTTATTTTTTCATAAAACCTATTAAAGTTATATATTTTTGAAAAGCTTATCAAATTTCCAATAAAATGAAAAGAAAAGTTTTGGAAAATTTGCAAGTAATATAGTCAGTTTGGGTACAGTCGTCTTGCATCTCAAAACACCGAATAAATCAAATGAAATACAAAACAAAGTAAAATCCGTAAATGAAATCAAAATTAAGAGACAAAAGGCAAATTGAATGCCTGAAACCTTAAAACAAAAAGCAACAAAATGTATAGAAACTTTGTACATACTTAAATTTAAATAAATCAACAGTCAGTTTGGGTAAAAAACGCATTTCATATATGCAAGTTTTTAATGTTTTTGATTTTTCTCAGTAACGACTTTATGAAAAGCTTTCAAATTTTGCACACTCATTGCCTATATAAATGTTAATAACTCGTATAAGTTTCAGAATTTTCCATTGAGTTTTTCACGAGTTTTCCTAGCCTGAATTTTTCACTATTAAAATTCATTTTTCTCGATAACTGCTCATTGTTATTAGATGTTGTTCATCTTATTTTCTTTCATTTTTTAATAGCTTTCCATTGATAAATAACGATCTAGGAAAAAGTATGAGACAAGAGAGAAATCAATAAAAAAGTGTGAAAAATGTGAAAATTTCTAAAATTCTCAGCCATCTTGAATTTATTTTGCTTTTTCTGGTTAAACTCAGGGGGGGGGGGGGGGGGGAGACAGAGCAAAAATTGCTATGAAAAAAAGTACTCTACTTTGTATTGGAAAAAAAATTGTCGAAAAATGAAATTTTCGCAATACTTCCTTCCGATGCAGTTTAGGACCGAAATTTTGATTGGAACTGATGAGAATCATGATTTAAGACCTTTTGACATCCAAAAATTTTTACTTTGATGCTTCAGTTCCTTTAAATTTGACTTTTTTAATTTCGTTTGTGGAGTACTTGGAAATTTCATCAAAATAAACATTTTTGGGTTTTTTTTCACAGCAATTTTTGCTCTGTCTCCCCCCCCCCCCCCCTGAGTTTAACCAGAAAAAGCAAAATAAATTCAAGATGGCTGAGAATTTTAGAAATTTTCACATTTTTCACACTTTTTTATTGATTTCTCTCTTGTCTCATACTTTTTCCTAGATCGTTATTTATCAATAGAAAGCTATTAAAAAATGAAAGAAAATAAGGTGAACAACATCTAATAACAATGAGCAGTTATTGAGAAAAATGAATTTTAATAGTGAAAAATTCAGGCCCGGAAAACTCGTGAAAAACTCAATGGAAAAATCTACAACTTATACGAGTTATTAACATTCATATAGGCAATGCAAATTTTGAAAGCTTTTCATAAAGTCGTTGCTGAGAAAAATCAAAAACATTAAAAACTTGCATATATGAAATGCGTTTTTTAACCAAAATGACTATATTACTTGCAAATTTTCCAAAACTTTTCTTTTCATTTTATTGGAAATTTGATAAGCTTTTGAAAAATATATAACTTTAATAGGTTTTATGAAAAAATAAGGGAGAAATTTGGAAAATATAAAAATTTCTAATTGTGTGTCCACTCACTTTATATGTATATGAAAAATAAATTGATGTGCAAAATTATCTCAATGTTAGGCATTGTGTAAATTCTAGTCAATTTAACAACAGAAAATAAACAAAAGTAGGCAGAGAACTACATGATATTGGTGGTTTACAATTTTTTTTATGGTATTATCAGTGCTAAAGTGTTTCTCCTATATACGGCTTAAGACCCTAGATTCCATTCAGTTCCAACACTACACACTTTAAGCAAAAGCAAAAATAACACAATTTTTATCACAAAGCAAATCCACATTAATTTTTTGATTTAAGCACAGCACAAGATCTTTTAAAGATTCCCACAAAATATTTGTCACATCTAAAAATACGTATTTTTGAGTACATTTTTTGTAGCTACATCCGAAATTTGGTCGAGTTTGGGTATTGAAAAATAACACAATGCACATAAAGACTATTAATCTTAAAGCTCAGATTCCTCCTTATTTATTAAATGAGATGTATTATCTATGAGTTTCATGAGCGTTGAGAGTTGATGGAGCCAATCTTGTAATACATTCTCTTGCTGACAATTTGTGGGTTTTTCTGATGTAATATGATTGTTCTTAAATGTTATAATTCCAGTAAGTCTATCAATTTTTGCTTTTATTGATTTGTTAACAATTAGGTTGCATAGATGCTTCTCAGTTTCATCGACATTTATATCTAGAAAGTCACTGATATGCGACAAATATGCTCGTTGATAGTATGTCGCAAAAACTTTGATATTATGCTCAATTGTAGATGTACGAAGGTCTTTCCAACATTTTAAACCTTCCTGTGTGTTGACATCGAATATTTCTAGTGCAAGAAAGTCATCTTTAAATTGTGCCTTCATTGTGTACCAGTTGATCAGCTCAATTGTCGTGTATTCTTTTAAAAGTTCACGAAACGATGGAACTTCAGATATGAATTTATGTTTTGACAATTCATGCATCATAGTAAGTTTCTCGTGATCAAATGGTGCTAAAATACAATAAGCAATCGAGTATGACAAGAGTTTCTTCCTCTCTTCTTTCTGTTCTTCCGATTGCATCACTTTCGTGTTGATAATAAATTGATAATGTCTCGATGTGTTCAGGTAATTTTCATATTTGTCAATAGTTATCATGAGTCTATAGAATCGAATTTTTAAAGCTTGATATTCAAGTGTTGTGTCTAAAATTTGCTTGTTAATTTTCTTAGCTACAATAAGGCATTTAACAAACTCTTTTGATTCTATCAGAAGTTCCATCAACTGTAAAATAATTTCAATTCTCTCCTTCCGTTCTAATGATGTTAATGTGTCAAGTCTTAGATCTTCAAGAATCTTAATAGCACCTTCTACATCACTTTCATTATTTCTTTTCATCACCGCAAATTCCTTACATATTTTTGCTCTTTCTATTTCCGCATACAATTTTCCATCCGTTACGTGCTTAAGTGTTTCCAATAATTTCATTTTAATTGAATTATTTTCGATTGCATCAACAAACTCACAGCATTTTCTAATCATTGTCCCAATAGCTTGTTCCGATTGGAGATGCTTTTTAAGTGCAAATGTTATAATTATTTCATTAAGTTCTTGATATTTTGATGACTCAAAATGAATTTCGACAATTGCAACAAGAATCCGTCCAATGGATATTGCATCACCAACTGTTCGATACTTTTTCTCAAGCTGAAATAATTCTTCAAGAGCTTCATTGAAGGTCTTTGTTTTTATTGACTGAATTAAATCTAAGGAGACTTCTTCAATCTTTTCATCTACTGTATCAACTTCCATGACTAGTAAGATACTAAAAATGAACAAAACGATTGAAAATTGCTTCAATGTCAAATTTTTGAATGAAAATTTTACCAAATTCAATCAACTTGATGTACACTCAATGATTCGTCTATTGACAAACTATTATTAAGCTTATTAATTCCTTTCTAGTGTCCATTTATCGATTAAATATTTAATTTTTTTTATGATAAAGTATTCAAGCTATGATTTTTCTTGCAAATCATTGTAAAATCGAGAAAATTATCCTTTAAATATCCTTACTCTCATCAGACATGCGCAGTTCATTTGTTTTGGATATGTTGCTCGCTACTCTCTCAGATTTTTGGAAGCGGGAAAATATTTTACATATGTTCAGGTTAAATTAGTTCCGAATGTATTTTTATTGTTTTGTGTACTGTCTAAATGTTAAAGTATTGTTATCTATAATATTAATTCAACAATGGTGTACTTCCAAACTGAAATAAATTTAAATATTATAATGAAGTTAAATGCAAAGATCAAAAACTTACGTTGTTGAATCTTCCCTTGATTCCATGATTATTGATCACTCCCAATTGACTGATAAGATTATAATTTCGAGAGCCATGTAAAATGCGTAAAAAGATCACGAATTGACTCATACCTTCAATAATTGAAACATTTTCCTACTTTTGGTTCTGTGTAAAAGATGACTTGAGATCCTGCATACATTCAAAAGCAATCGATCTTAAATCAAAACGAATCACTGCTAAACTTATGCGATTGAATTCAAATTTTTTTTTCAAGTTTCATGATTACTGAGATCATTTATTTTATTTCAAGAACTGTCTTGTATCATTGATATTTTGATTGTTAAGCATACCAAATTATTAAAAGACTGATAATTACCAAGATTCTAGCATAAGAATTATTAATTTTACAATGAGAAATTCCCACAATTCTGCAAAATTCACTTCAAAACATAAATCAAGTAAATGACTTCCTCACAAAACAACACAATCAAATGTCCGCGATCTCCATATAAGCTACAAGTGTAAGAAGAATAAAACAATATTTAAAGTTTTGAAAAGAGCGATCATCTTTTTTTCTCTCATTTTTTTATAACTTTATTCGTTATTTTTTACATCTTCCAACATCGCTACGCCCATTTGATTGTAGTATATTCTCATCATCATTTATAGCAGTATCCAATGAGCATATCCCAAAAAATAACAGAATAAAGATTTACGCATAATGAGTGAGAAACAATGTAAATAATTTTTATGGATGAAGAATAAAACACCAAAAAAGAGGAATTAAAAATGAGCGAAGATCAATAAAAACATAAAATAAATGTGTCAAAAAAGGAAATAGCTATAATAAAGAATACATTTAAAATATTTTGGTGTCTTTATAATCTTTTCCTTAATCCTCCCAAATTTCGCACATTACGAACCAAAATTCAGAAAATGGAAAATCCCAAAGATTTTTGGGAATTTTTAAGGTAAGTTTTATTGCATTGCTGATTAGTCTTAACACCAATAATGGTTTTTCCCAAAATATACAGACACAACTTGTGGAAATTCCATGCAAAAATGTGTGAAATACTAAAAGGTATTAAATCTAATGCTTCCAAAATGTCTTCTTTGTTTTTCTTTCGATTTATAAAAAAATTTCTTAAAAATCCAAAATACATTTTGCAGAAATTTCAAATATTTTTCAACCTTAAAAAAAATCTTCAGCTTCCGGTCGATCAATTAAAAAGATTTGTAGACTAAATTCTTACATTATGAACATTCCATGACCTTTTGAAATTTGACCCTCGCTTGTAAGACATTGATACACGAGAAATTATACCTGATTATGGCAGGCATTAAAAGATCTTTTTGGTTTCTTTCGGGAAAAAAGAGGAGAGAAAATTTTCTGTTAATGAATTTTTATGCTTTTGTATGTGTCAAAGAGGCAATTTATGATCATAATGTGTGTGGGGAATTTGTGAATGATGTGTAGGTTCTCTTATAAGGAAGGAAATGTTAGATTAGATAAGGAAGTGGAAGAAAGGTTTCAATGCTTGAGTTTGCCTATGTTTATTTTAAAATAATCATCAAAATTATTCAGATTCACGACTAAGATACAGTATTGCATTCTGGCCATTTGTCTAGATCAGATAAATTCTGAGACAGAAATTTCTTCATAAAGATCGATTCTATATGAAGATAGAAAATCTAATCTACACAAAGATTATTTCTACATAAAGATTCTGTCTACATAAAGATTCGATGTAGATATCTACAATTCTACATTTTTTCCAGGTCTACATCAGAGAAGAATGTAGAATTGTAGACATCTACATCGAATCTTTATGTAGACAGAATCTTTATGTACAAATAATCTTTGTGTAGATTAGATTTTCTATCTTCATATAGAATCGATCTTTATGAAGAAAGTTTCTTAGCTAGACAAAAACTATTGAAGAATCTACATTCTTCATCTAGTGTAGACATCTACATTTGCAACACTGCTAAGATATGATTTTGAACATCTAAAATAAAATCATGTAGACTTTAAATCTGGAATAATTTCTTTTTACATATTTGCAATTCGCAACTCAAATATTATTCAGAAAGTCTAAAACATCAATCTGAAATTTCAAAGTTCAAGAAAATTTCCAACATTTAGGAATTTTCCCGTTGTTGTTTAAGAAAATTTGATTTTTATTTGCTACCTTAAGCTACCTGAATTGCAATTAAGTTTAAAACTTGCAAAATTAATTTTTAAAACTTTAAATTTCAATCTGGATTTCGCTTGATATCGTCAAATTCTAATAATTTTAAAAGACATTTTCAAAGAATTCAAAGGTTTTGACAGAATTAAAATAAAATCGACCCTATGCTAATCAAAATGTTTTAAAAAACCCCTCTCAATAAAAGACTACAAAACTTCCAAACAGACCCCACAACTGAAATTAAAGATGCTCATTATAAAAAGTGGGAATTTCAGAAGCATAAAGTTCCACAAAAAAATAATTCTTAAACCTAAAATATTCTTAAAAACAAAAAGAAGGAAGGCAAAACAACCCAAAAAGAGAAGATCTAATGAGACGAGGGAAAATTTTCTCTTTAACTGATCGAGGAACTCTCTCATTAGCAAGAAAATTATTCATATGTGTCATTGTATTAGTGTTCAGATATGTGCATGAAGTTTTACTCGTCGATGATGAAAATTCTTTACTTTAGTATACGTCGAGATCTCAAAGTGATAAAATCGAAAAAAATATAGTTCCAAAAAATATTTAATTTTGTCATAAAAATTTCGATTGTAAAATAATTGTGCATGCAAAGTGCCAAAAAAAAATTAAATTAAATTAATATAATAAATGTGTAATATTGATACCAAAGAATGGCATTGTCACCAAAGTTAATATTAGATATAAGCCAATCACAAATGGAAAATTTATCATTAAGTTGTAAAATGATTAAAGTTGAACATTCAAGTGATAACGATAGTAATAACAACAGTCCAAATGGATCACATCACAACAATAATCACCATCATATTAATCACAATAATAATAATAATAATAATAATAATCAACATAATCACACGGATATGAAGTATACGGATTTAGATTTATCAGTACCTTCTACAGTTAGCTTTTATGAGCAGCATCCATCTGCTTTATTATCGTCTGGAAATTCCACAAGAAAAAGGAGGGTATCAACTAAAAGTACACAAGATGAACATAATCAGCATTTCCAATGCAGTCCAATTGACGTGGATGGAGATGCAAAAAGATTTCGTTTTGATATTGAAAATTATGAATCTCCCGTCGTTCCAACGACAATCTTTAAATATTGTTTAAATAATAATGATGAGTCTTATTACTCACATGACATGAAGCACGATCAATATGGAATGACTGAAAGTCCTGAATCACAATCACCTTATGGATATTCAGCAGCATCACAAATGTATGCAGGTGTTGATATGAATCATCATTATTATTATTCACAAACAAATAATCATCAAATACCCGAGCAAGTTCAACAATTTAATGTAAGGAACACAACAAAACCTCAACCAGAATTACTTACTGTTGAACAGCCGCGATCATCCAGCGATAAATGCCTTCAAATTGTTAAGGATAAAATTCATAAAATGAAGACCAAAAAACTTAAACTTCCAAGAAAAGTGAGTCCAATTAGATGTGATCCCGAGCAGAACAAGCAATTAAGGTGCATGGCTAATGTTCGAGAGCGACAAAGGACACAAAATTTAAACGACGCATTTCAATCATTAAGAAAAATCATTCCAACACTTCCAAGTGATAAGCTCAGTAAAATTCAGACATTGAAATTAGCTACAAGGTAAGCATTAATTAATTTTATGTATTTTTGATGATTTTAAAGTCACTGGATGTTATTAAAATCGTTCAAACTATTTCCAAAATCTCTCATTTAAATCTTCCTGGATCTCGTCAACATAAAAAACCATTAAAGAATTGAAAATTCGATACTTTTCGTTCATCTTCAAATAGTCGGTTCCATTAAGTGCCTAAAGAGCTTTTCTTGACGTTTTCAAGAATGTTTTTTAACCGATTCTCAAGAATTCGTCCAAAAATATCTTCTTCTAATGGTTACCGCCAAAACAACACACACAAACAGCATAACACATAACATAATCTTTTATATCTTTTTATGTGAATCATAAAAATAGCAATTTAAGAAAGACAAGAAAAATGAAGGATGAGCTCAAGCAGAGATCCCCTTCTTGGTATTAACCAAACATATGTTTCTCCTCAAAGCCTAAAAGAAGTTTTTTGACGACTCAAAGGGAGGGCGAAAAAATTAAAAAAATGAAGTTTTTTCTTCTTCAAAAATTTGCTAATAAAAGAGAGAGAGAATGGAAGCATTCGGATGTTTCCGGTCGTAAGCATTTCAATAACTCCAGTGGCTTTATTACATCTTTTTTTATTCTTGACGAGCTTATGATGAGACGATTTATTGCCTTTTCTTCCATCCTCTCATGTCGAGAGCAAGAAAAGGCATGCACAAAAAGATATTTCAATTAAGAAAGATTAATGGAATCGCCGGAAATGTGAATGTCGAAAAGGAATTTTGAACAAATTTTTCATCTTATTTCTTCTTCCTCTTTACAGTTACATTGACTTTCTATGGAAAATGTTGACCAATGAATCACTATCTGAGGATCAATCATCAGACTCATCAGTATCAAGTTCACCAGCGCATTGCATGCAACAGTTTCAGAATGGTAGCACAGGAAGTCCGATTGTGCCGAATGAGAAATTGAATCTTATGTTCAATATGTGGAGAATGGAGGGGGAGTTGACAAACTCGAATAAGATTGAATGAGAATAGATGTTGGGGTTAGGTTCTTATGGATCATTTAGATTGAGTCATGATCTATAGTTTAAAATTGTTAATCATGCATTTATGACCGCGAGAATTTGTCAGACTCAGAAACCTAATAATTAAAAAAGCATTTCCACAAAATTAGCAATTGAAGATTTTTGACTTTAAAGTTGAAAGTTCCTTTGTTAATCCAGGAGGCATCAACTGAATTATCAATTGCTGGTAAAATTGAAATCTTTAAAAAACATTTTAAACTTCTCATAAATGCATGATTTTGGTGTCGTTCGCAAATAATGTTCAAGTCCAATAGGATTAATCAGTTGCTGTTCGGTTGACTTCAGGATCTTAATATAAGTGCTACTAAGATACAGCCACATAACCAGTTGAGGACAAAATTTATGAACGATCGCCCTCAAAAAACAAAATATTCTGAAAACTATACGTATCTTCCAAATAATCAATCAAAGAGTTACAAAAGTGATTAATTTGTTATATAAAGCCAAACATTTTGTAAAGAATTTAATTTTATAGCATTTAAGAAAAAAACTTATTTTTGTCCAAAAAAAGAAGAAAAATTATGCAAGAAAAAAATAAATAAAAAATTGTTTAAATTTTTTGATACATAAAAGCGGATCTTTAAATAGAATTCATTTTGCAGTTCCAGACGCATTCATCTCTCCATTTTAAAATATATCTGATGTCTTCTTGTTTAATAATTTTTGTCCCCTCTTTCTCGCTACTTTTTGTCTCTTGTGCAAAAAAAGAAGAATTTTAATTTATTTTTTTGTTGCAAAGTCGAGCATTTGACACAATCAACCTTCAAGGTTTCCCGTTCTTCATTCTTATTTTTAAAATTTATCTCCTATGTGTCTGCATACTAGATCCAGTAAAACGCTTCTTTGCCATTGCATCATGCCTATTTCTTATTCTTAATGTAATGTAATTGGGTTTATATGTTTCACATTTTGTAAATTAGAGTTAATAAAAACTGTTTTAAGAGTAAATAAACATTAAAACAACTTCCAAGCAACCTAATACAATGCTATTTCTGTGAGAATATGTAGACGGTGTTTTCTAAAGAATTATAAACACGGAGTGGGGGTTGGAAAGTTTGAAATTGTCTATTTTGAAGATTTTGGGATAAATGATGTGGTTCGTTATTTTAATCTAGGTTTTTAGCTCCTCTCATTAGTTCCTTCCAATAAAACTAATAGAATCATATCATAGTACATCCCTGAATATTTGACAGATTTGTTTCAATGACAATAAGGTTGATCTCGATAAGTGAATGTTCCCTAATCTGAAGTCTAATTTTAGAAATAATAAACCTATCTTTCCTTTTATCCTCGCTTAAGTAATCACCATAAAATAAAACAAAAAAAATTCATTTGAGAAAAACGCACTAAAAGCAATTATTCAATTTATCATATTTTACATCCATCCATCTCGTTCTATAAACATCACAACGTCGAATTTTCCTCTTTTTTTCACATTCATTTAAAAAAAGAAGAAGAAGATTGAAATGAAAGAGAAAACTGTTGCGAGAAAAATAAACATTTTAATCGTTATATGGACTATCGTCATGTTGAAAATGATCAACATGATCGTCATCTTCAGAGGAGTAAACGACGGCATCTAATAACATCAACAATAAATGGAGAATAAGAATAAAACAAGAAGATATAATTGCTTTAAAATTTTATAAATATTTATCTCTTCTGAGACTTCTGAGAAAATTTTTCCCATTCCTAAAATGTTTAATTCCTCAATCATTTTAGGTTTGGGTGATCAAAATTTATGTCCTAATGCTGGTGTTTGTTGTTCTTTCCATAGTTTATATTCTTCTTGTGTCTAAAGTTTCATCATAAATCAATTTAATTAGAGGAAAATGGCAACTTATTTTTTTGGATTTCCATCAAGTCATTAGAACTTTAAAGTCTCATTCATCAACATTTCAAATCATTAATTAGTCAGGCTAAGAGACTTTAATTAATATTTGTCTTGTTTAAAAACGCATTAAGTATTTTTGGAAATTCCTTTTGATGATGCTGATGGGGATGAGCATTAAAGTGTAAAAAGCTTTGATTTTTATTGCTGAGTTGTGATAAAATAGAGTCAATTAGGGAGTGTGGGTAGGTGATAAATATGTTTTTAATTGGCTGATGAATACTTGAGCTGGATCCTGCAAATACACATCTTTTGCTCATCCAATGTTAATTGTTCTGGAAGCTGACATAAATGATCAGACAGTTCATCGATTTTCAAACTTATTGATTAGCTCGACCGTTTTTAGGTACAGAAAGACTATTCTACTACATCACCGACTCATTGCAGCTCAACAACTCCATATAAAATTCCTCAAAATTCATTAGAATAAAAACTTTAGTTTAATTAACAGCCATTATTCTCTTTTAAAATGCAATCAAGCCGAAATAGTAAATGACGGTTATGTGAATTTAATCTACTGTAACATCCAAATGTTTAGTATTTCCCAATTACTACTGTATTTAAAGCAATGAAGTAAAACAAATAAATGAACTTTTTTACTATTTCTTCGTTAAATTTGTGATAATTAAAATAAAATTTCAATTCATATCGAAAAAGACTGTTTTACTGCCGCAAAGTCACAAAAACTCGAAAAACACGAAAAAGGAATCCATTAAACTAAAGGCAATGTTTATTTCTGTCTGATTTAAAATCTTTTATATACATGTATTTTTTATAAATATATGTTGTGTGTAACTTAATATGATCTGTTTCGAATTAGTGATGCTAAAGTAACCTTACTTCACTCATTTATTTCAGCATCATCATCATTTACTCACATTTTGTTGTTTTATTACAATGAATGAGTTTGTGAGTGCTTGTAGTTCGTTGGGATGTGCGATTTTGCATGCATTTTAATTTATAAGCTTATTCTGAATTAGTTTGAATGATGTATGTGAAGGAATCATGATATTTTTTTCGAGATCAAGATCATGTGATGATTTGTAGAAATTTTAGATCATTTGGAAAATTGAAAGGAGATCAGTATGATAGATTGGAGATTTAAATCATTGTTATTATTATTATTATTATTATTATTATTTATTCAATTATTATTTTCAAGAAGCTAAAGCTTGTTTCTTAAGGTTTTGTCTGATTTAATCATTTTTGAATGCACAAACAATTGTTTTGGACATAGTCAAAAGTAAACAGAGTCTTGAAACCTAAATCGTTTTAAATCCACTCCGATACGAACTTAAATAAACATATAACCAGCCGATCTGAGAAACATCACAACGATTAAGAATAGATATCAAAAGACAATGTATTTTCAACTTTTTGCTAGCTTCAGAGTCAAATTAAGGTCCCATAAAATTCCAAATATCTTAAAAATGCCTTAAAAATTAATATTCAATCACCTTTAAAATTGACATCTAATAAAATTAAAATTAACATAGCACCAAGCATTAAAATCAACAAAATTAAAGGAATAAATGTAAATATTTATTAAAAATTCAAAATTTTCCCAACCTTTACTAATAAATGTGTGATGTTCGCAGATCCTTTGGGAACAAATTAAAAATTCTAACCAGATTGAACATTTTCTTCCATACAAGGGAGAAACCCAAGGATTTCAATGCCATAAATTATCAAATCGGATGTGTTAAAATTTAAAAAGTAAATATTCACGTGCGGATATTTTATTACTTACAAAAAAAAACTATTTCTGTTTGTCATTATCCTTGCCATTTACCATGAACATATGAAAAGAATGCATAAATAGGTAACATGCAGACTTCATAGCGCCTTTGGGTCATGTAAGATGTAAAAATTAAACATTCAAATTTGCCATTTCTTCCATGTGAAATCCGAAAAGCGCCAGAGATTTAAAAGTCTTGGTAAATAGAAAAGAACAACATGTGATAAAAATGTGTTTTCCACAGTCCGTAAACAATAGACAAAAAAGTTCACATAACAATAACATGTAAATTTCTAAAATAATTTGCAATTCCGTTTTCCTAAAATAAAGAAGTAAAAGAGAATCGAAGATAAAAATGGAAATAAGCAGCAATTTATTGTTTTTCTTGCATTCCTTGCTTGTATTTGTAATGCATTTGTAATAATATATTTAAATGAAGATGCAATATTTTATGATTTAGCCATCTCGCTCACTCTTTCTTTTGTTCTTCTTGCTTATCTGTTTTGCTTTTTTGTTTTTTTGAGAATAAATGAAATTCTTTAAATGCACACGTGCAGTTCCTTTTTACTGATTTTCTATCTATTCGTTTAACTTGGTGGGTTTTTCTGTTGTTTTCGTTTCTGTTCTTTAAAATGTGTGCCTAGAAATAATGAGAAATGTTAATTGAAAGTCATTTTGTGTGTTATTTAAGCTTGGATTGCTAAATTCGTGATTACTTCAAGCTTGTAATATACTGAACAATTGATTTTGCTGAATTTCGTTTAATATTGGTAGAAATTGAAGATTCTGTTGCTAAACTTAGTATCATTGCTTTTTATCTGTTGTTTGAATCAAATCATAAGATTTATTGCATCAAAGTTGGTTTTTAATTTTTAAACAAATATTCAGTCTGTGTTTCAGTTCAATTTAATTGTATTTATAAGTAATACTAACAAGGGACAAGACCTTAGCTATAAAAGGTCAGTTTCTTAATATTATTTAATCAATTGTCTTTCAGATATATCACAATTTCCTCAATATCATATAAATTTGCAGTAGATCAAATTCTTCTGTTACTATTGATTGAATAATCAATGCAATCGTTAGATATCATTGCTCATACTTTCCATTTGCTCAAAAATATCAAATTGCACAGTCTTGTCTGGTTTTCTGGATATTATTAAGAACTTCTGCATACTTTTCATAAAAAAACCGAGCTATAAATAATGTAACAAGCTATAATAATCATTTTAGAAAACATTCTAGTCAGACAAATGCAAAAAAAGCGCCTAAAATCCAACATTTAAGTTTCTCAAATTCTCCCACACTTGATATTGTAATTTTTACATTTGCAAAATGAGACGAGAAACACTTTATACGCATGATAGCGTGGGAAAGATGCTCAAAATGAAAGCAATTTTCTTGTAAAAAAAAAGAGACGAGATGAGAATGATGATACAGATTGCTAATGAGTCAAATAATCATGACAAGACAACAGCTGTTTACATATTAACTTGATTTTCAGCAACCACAACAACAATATTCATCGTCTGTGCGAATCTTCATCAAGATGATGCGATGATGGCTGCACATTTGCTAGAATAAATGTTATAATTATCAGGTATTCGTTTCTGGGAGTCGCATCTAATTTAAAAACCAATGAATATTCTTCTGAGAAGAAAAATTCTTTTGTGGTTGAGTGCTAGTGTCATCATAATTCATTCAATATTGCGGAACAACGATGTGCATCTCTTCCCTCATTTTTATTCTTTCTTATTTTTACAAATGACACTTTTATGATGTCGATGGAGAAATATGATGATCGAGAGAGAAAATTTATGAGTTTTGGCGGCAGTGAGGAAGGCAAAGGGTGATGTTTATATTTTTGTGGATAATGAAACAAGTGTAGATCAACATGATC